GGCCGGGCGCCCGGCCGCCGGGCGGGGCCCCCCCCCCCCCGCGCGCCGCCCGCCCCCCCCCCCCCCCCCCCCCCCCCCCCCCCCCCCCCCCCCCCCCCCCCCCCCCCCCCCCCCCCCGGGGCGGAAGCCCTCACTGGTGCATTGCTGGGTTGGAAGAAGAAAGTCGATATCGAGCGGATGCTTATTCCATCGAGCAAACGGATTGCCTAGGGAAGGTACGCGTAGATAGAGAAGATGGGTGTTTGCAGTGCGGCTGATGCATTTGGACCTCTTACGTCTAGCAGGCAGGCTGGGCGAGAGGTCCTGACTGAGCTTTGGTAATCCGCCCGACCAGTAATATACCTACTCCTCCTACTCCTCCTACATTTACCCTGGACAACAGCAACAAACAAACAGCCTGGAAAACAGAGATTGCCACTGCATCTTAACTCGTATCTATCCACCCCTGCAGCATCTACAGAGTAATATTCTTTTGAAGCTTTGTTTCGGTCTTTCCATGCCTTTTTTGCTGTGTTTCGGAGTTTCAGGACACCACGTACGCAGCCATCTTGTCAGTTGTCAGCTGTCAGTTTCGGCCTCCGGTGTAAGTCGGGAAAATGATCAATAATAGGCATGTACTTTTAACCACCTATGGATTTACTGGTACACACTGTCGCAGTTGCCCGAACTTGTCACTTGATGGTCGTCTTTGATCCAGATCCACGGCCTTGTGTTGAATCCCCGGATCCCAACCGAGTGGCTGGTCCCTTGATTTGATCGTTTCATCATCCCCGCTCCCTTGTTTCCTCTCTTGCCCCCTCCCTTCTCCCCTCTCTGTTCTGCGCTACTCTGTATGGAATACATGTAAACGCCTACGAGGTATCGCTTGATCGCAGAAACTAGATGCAAATTGGCAGGGAAACCCAGTAAAACTACCTGACCTAACCTACCTACCTACCGCTTTTACCTCAGGAGGAAGGTACCTACCGTGGATGTACTCCGTGATATTACCGGGTAGCTCCGAATGACATTTTAAATCCTGCCCAAGGTGCCACAATCAACGTCATAAGTGACCACCCGCTCTGTCCCGACCCATGTTGACCCGCGGCGGGACAGGTATTCGCGCCCCAAACCCCCGCCCTGTCCCCACCATACATCGTCCATTGCGCAGCCTTCAACATACTTCTGGATACTTATAATACCTTGAATACTTTGGATACTTTGCCTCTATGTAGTTGAACGGGTCCCACATCCTTGCGTTCTGACCTCATCCGTTTGTCTTGCGTCTTCCAGCTTTTCGCAATGGCTTCTTCTTCATAGCTGCATTGCCAGCCAATCCCCGCTGTGCAGCCAGTACAAAGCCGACCGCATATCCCAAGCAACAAGGCCCCTCCAACCGCCGCTGGATTCGCGCGGGGCTTCCCATCCAAGGTACAGTTCTTCGAATCGTTTGTGATGCTTTGTTCGTCAAACAAACCACCTAGCAGCTGGGCTACAGAGAAGCTGGAACACCTTTGCCCCAACTGCCCCCTTTCCGACAATAACTCCACGACCACGACCTACAGTCCACTTTCCCAATGGCCGCGACAGTCGCCTCTTCGAGTCCCCTCCCCCCGGGAGGCGGCCTTCACCCAACTCAAGCGCAGGGACTCATGGCCGCGCCTCAGGCGGCAAACGGAAATGGGAGTCCTTCGCCGTTACCATCAAGACGCTTGACACTCGCCGACTTCCAGAAGGTGCGAACGCTAGGGACCGGCACCTTCGCCCGGGTCACTCTTGTGAGGCCGGCCTATGGAAATGATGCCGATCGCAATACGGTGTACGCCTTGAAGATATTACGGAAGACGGAGGGTTTGTACCGCCAGCCTCGGTCCGCTCAATACCTGGGGGATTGTTTGGCTAATATAAAGCGGTTCTGGGTTGCAGTTATCAAGCTGCGCCAGATAGATCACGTACGGCACGAACGCCGAATCCTCAGCGAAGTCTCAGGACACCCATTTATCACAAACCTTCAAGCCTCCTTTTCCGATCGAGAGTTTCTATATCTGCTTGTAAGTCCAGCCGCGCGCACTCGTCGTGACGAGCCAGAAAAGGGGGGCGCACAGATGATGAGTTGACTCGGTCATCTCCACTTAGCTCGATTATGTCCCTGGAGGAGAGCTCTTCAGCTACCTCCGGAGATTCCGCCGTTTTGAGGAGGACATGGCGTGCTTCTACGCCGCCGAGATCGTCCTCGTGCTCGAATACCTCCACGAGCAGCAAGGAGGCGTCGCATACCGTGACCTGAAGCCCGAGAACCTTCTGCTCGACGAAGACGGCCATATCAAGTTGGTGGATTTTGGCTTCGCCAAGCGATTGGGGAACAACGACGACGACCGGCCCGTGGAGACGTATACCCTCTGCGGCACACCCGAGTACCTCGCCCCTGAAGTCATCCGTAACAAGGGTCACACCACGTCGGTCGATTGGTGGGCCCTGGGCATTCTGATCTACGAGTTCTTGACGGGTTATCCGCCGTTCTGGCATCAGAATCCCATTGAGATATACAAGCAGTATGTTCTCCCAACCCCCCCCCCCCCCCCCTCTCTCTCCTCACCTCCGCCTACTGACATGATCCCCACCCAGGATCGTCGAAAAGCCGGTTGTATTCCCGGATCAGCCCCAGATCAGCGACGAGGCGAAGGACATCATCCGGCAGTTCTGCACCGTCGACCGGTCGCGGCGGCTGGGCAACATCAGCGGGGGCGCCGCCAGGGTGAAGGAGCACCCCTTCTTCCACGGCATCAACTGGGACGACGTCGTGCACCGCCGCCAGCGCGGCCCCATCATCCCCCCGGTCCGCTACCCGGGTGACGCCCAGTGCTTCGACATCTACCCGGAGGAGGACCCGAACCGCGACGCCTATACGGACGAGATGGCGGCCAAATACGATGACTACTTCAAGGACTTTTAAGGGGAAGCCGGCCGAGACCGGAGGGTTGTGACTGGAAGGAAAGCCAACGAGACAGGAACAAAGATAATGATGTAAAGAAAGAGATAATATGGGCGGATGACATGGGTTACGCAGACGAGCACCGGTGGCTCGCTACACTCTTGCTTGATACCTATGTTGGCTTCCGGATCGCACCCGCAACCTCCCCTTCATCCCACAATCCTTATTCTGACTCCCAAGGGTGTTGGGCGGTTGAGGATCTGCCTGTGCGCGTACCAGGAATTCGATGGGGAAAGGAGGCAGTGCAATCTGTTATACTCACCACAGGCCATCCAAGATGGCGAAATGGAAGGGAGGGAGGCTTGAGGGCGGGGGAATGTCCGGAGTTTAGGGGGGGGAACTCGGACGTCCTTTCATTTTCTTTTTTTCTTTTCTCGTTTTGGCTTTACGACAGTCTTCTTGACAGTCTTATGGAACTCGCATATCTGGCAGGTCCGGCGTTTCATCGAGGGGTAGGCACCGTCATGTTTGGGGAGGGTAACGCGATAGTCACGCGATCTCGACAACATATTGTTGAATCCGGGTTGGGACACGATTTCATCGGGGGATTTCCTGGGTGTTTGTCTATGAAAAGGGGGAACTGGGTAGGTAGGTAGGTAGGTAGGTATATTATTAGCATCCTTATTGATATTGGACATCGATCGAGAGGTCTCAGGTCCGTGTAGCAATCACAAAAGTTCAACCATCCAAAGCTAGCATACTGCAATGTTTCTGACGGCACAAACGCCACATGATGAGTGGTATTCTCGACCAACAACCCAGGTATACCCAGATAAGGAAAAAAGGGAAAAAAAAGGGGGGGGGAAGTCCACAACCATACACGCAACGCTGGGGTATCAGGAACAAAACCCACAGGATACAACCAACACGCCTATCTCTGCCAAGAAATGTTCGCCAAGAAGCTTCTAATGGCATCTCTCTCTCTCTCTCTCTCTCTCTCTCTCTCTCTCTCTCTCTCTCTCTCTCTCTCTCTCTCTCTCACACACACACACACACACACAAACTCTGGTGGGAAGGAGGCCAGGGCCCCCACCGTCTACTCTAAACCGACGTGAAAAGAAACGGCCATAAACCCAGCCCTCCACTTCTCTCACCACAGCCGCCAAGCCCACCAGCCGCCCACGCCGACCGCCACCGCGGTGGCCATGAGCACAGCGCCCTCGCGGGTACTCCAGAGGAACATGGACCACCCGACGACGATCTCGCGCCTGCGCGCCGCCGCGCGCCGCTCCCACGCGTGCACGTCGATGGGGACGGGGAGCACGGCCCGCGGGTCCGCGAGGTCCTCTTCGAACAGCAGCGTCTCCCCGTCTGCCCCCTCCTCTTCCTCCTCCCCTGCGCCGGCGACGACGACCCTCGGCGGCGCCATGTCCGCCGGGCCCAGGACGGGGACCTGCACGCGCAGGAACACGGGCCGGTGGTCGCTGGTGGCGACGACGGGCATGAGGTCGTACGCCTGGACTACGACTCCTCCACCTCCTCCTCCCTTGCCTGCCTGCTCCTGCTCCCGCCGCCGCCTCGCCCACGGCGGCACGTCCAGGTACAAGACGCGATCGCACCAGCTAGGCCAGCGATGCGGCGCCCACTTCCAAGGGACCTCGCCCCGCGTCCTCGCGGCCACCTCGTTGACCGCGCCATCCGCGTCGCCCAGCACGTCGTACTTGTAGCTCGGCCCGAACGAGATGTCCGCCTCGGCGAGGCCGTGGAGCGTCCTCCCCGCCACCCTCTCGCGCGTGAGCTGGTCGCGCCCCAGGAAGGTGGACCAGTGGTCCGGGCTGTCCGGCTCGAAGGACGGGAACGCGCTCAGCGCCGGCGGCGTCTTCGCGCCGATGCGGTAGTTCAGGTCCCCCGCCACGAACAGGTGCGACGTCGGCTTGAACACCGACATCTCGTGCAGCGTCACGTGGTGTTCCGCCGTCAGGTCCGGGTGCTCCGGGTGGAACGGCGCGCCGCCGCCGCCACTCTCGCTGCTGCTGCCGCGGCTTAGAAGCGGCCGGGCGTCGTCGTCGTCGTTGTCGCCATCCTCTTCCTCGGCACCCGCCTCTTCGGCCGCCGAGTCGGGGCGGTCGGCGTCGGGGAGTGTGGCGTTGGCGGGGAACACGCCCGGGATGGCCGTCTTTGGGTTCTCAAAGGTCAGGCCCGAGACGATGGTGCGCCAGTTGGCGTTCCGCTTCTTCAGGTTCCACTCCATGGCCGCCAGGTGCGTGGCCACAAAGGTGAGTTCCGTGGTCGCAAACTCATCGCCGCCGTCGTCGTCGCCGCCCGCCGACTTCCCGTCGCTCCACGTAACCCTGAGCCCGACGGCGCCCTTGTTCCCCATATCCGCAGTCCCGAAACCGCACTCGGCCTCCTCGATGTGGTGCACGGCCGCCGGCGTCCTCGCGAACAGCATTATAGCCGTCATGCCCACGTTCTTCGTTCTGACTAGTGTATACGGGGCAGGGGTAGGCGCCGGCCCCCTCCCCCAGCCGCCAGCCGCCGTCTGTGGTGTTGACAAGCCCTCATCGTCGCCGCCGCCGCCCTGTGCGCCCGACCCGGCGAGGATCTCAGTGGCAGCGAGGTTTAGCGCCTCCTCGTATCGCGAGTAGTACGGCCCGAGGAAATAGGAGCCGATGAAGGAGTAGGAGAGCGGGGCTACCTCCTGGAGCGAGCTATATTGAAGGGGCGAGAACGTGAGCTAATTTCTGATTTTGCTCGGGTCGTTCGCCATAACAGGATTGATTGATTGATTGGGTCCCTCCGCTCGCCGTCTTTCGTTGCGTCACGGGCACACCCAACGAGGTCACGCGCTCCCAAAAAAGGGGGGGGTGAGGGGGGGAAGTTGTAAAGATGGAGGGGAGCCGAGACTTACAAGACCACCAAATCTGGTAGGCCAGTAGCATTTTGGGACAGTGCGGCCTGGAGATGGGATGCGAAGACTGCGACGTTGATGAGGTTCTTGGCGCAATTGAAGGTGAAGATGAAGAGGTCGAGGGTTGAGGGCGACATTGTCCCGGTGCAGGCGGCCAGGGATCGCCGAGGATCTGTCACTGTCCACGAAGATGAATACCACGATGGGTCCCCCGAATTAGGGAATGTTGGGCGCCAAACACACCTTGGTCCATGTTGGATCTGCACGTTCCGGGAGCTGGGTTTACCCGCTGCGACTAAACCTTGGGCTGAACGCAGGGGGCTGTGCAGGTCTCGACCTGAGCCCTCTGATTGGACGAGAAGCGCCTACTGGGGCAGCTATTGTCGAGCTGCGATGATGGATTGGATGAACGAAAGGATGAGGGAAAAAAGCTTCCGGCCCAGACGACGTAGATAAAACTGTCCTCTTGCTAGCTACTTATACGAGCCCGTCTCGTTAGGTTATCGACCTACTTAACTTATCTTATACGTAACCATCCACGCATGTGATGTCTGTACAGCCTCGTGACAGGGGAGGGTCAGGAGAGTTTCCTGGGTCCGCTTAGATTCGAAGGATGGCTGAGCAGCCCTGCTGTCTACTTTCTACCTAGTAGCGGCAGGGGCAGATAGGCAGACAGCGCACAGGATCACGGCTGGAGACCACGTTGGGAGACAGACCTTAGAGAAAAAACGAAAACTAAAATATGAAAACTACCTCGCCTATCTGTATTGGTTCCTTGTCCATCAGCTTGCCATCGGTGTGAGCCACTTCGCCATGATCCGCCGTTCCCCGGTGACTCTGACCACATAGCCGCAGAAGCCATCGGCTTCTTGAGAGCCAGGCAGCAGCGCGTAATGGGTCGTTATCATGGACCAAGACCGGGACGAGAGGTGAGGCCTAGGACTGTCCTTCCAAAGTAAACCGTTCCGACGAGGCATCTAGTTCCTCTCCGCACGGCCACCACAATCCTCCTTGACCGTCCCCCTCTCATCTCTGCCGCACACTGTCCTTCTGCAGGTACATCATGCAAGAGGTGGCTTGTCCCAGCGACGGTGGACCGGGTGCCAAACTTCCATCTTCCAGGCCCCCAGATCTGATGATGAGCCTCGAGATTTGAATGGCCCGTTGGTGGTCCCAAGACGAAGGCCGAGCACCTGGCTTCCTCATCCCCACACACAGGCTCGCTAACATCCCCAATTAATTGCCTCCCCACAAGCGAGCCCCGACGTTCAGAATACCAATGCGAGATACCAAGACGAAAGAAATAATTATGCACCCAGTAGAAGAAATGCAACCCGTCGAGAACGGCCCGTGACATCCCGGGCCCCAGGAGAGTCCATGCATCGCAACGACCCGGCTTGCCCTGATCCGATCGATCTGGGTACGACCAGAGCAAGCAACTTCGGGGAAACCAGGGTCAAAAGGCTTCGTCGGCAGCAGGGGGATCAGGTGCCTCTCTCCATCAAAACACCTTCTCCCGATCACGGCACTTCAGCAAGTTGAAGTACCGGGCGTGCCGTTCGAACGATTCCCGAACCGCAGAATGGGGCAGGCGGCTTGCCCCGGGTTCTAAAATCGTCCGAGCCATGTGGTGTAAGGTCATTAAGCCGAAGAGAGTCGAAGAACGAAAAAGAAAAGCAGTCCTCAAATACTGAGCGGGGAGCCGTAACAGCTGTCGATAGTCCGGGCTTGGGCAATCGTGTCATCAGCCCAGGCGGCAAAGGCTTGGTGAGAGAGAAATAATCACGATGTTGCCCATACGACGGGGGCGGACCCCCAAATCCACCCAGAACTGTGCTGTTTCCGCGAGCGGTCCAAGGTCCAGAAAGCCTTGCGTGTATCATTTTGGTCGGTACGAGCCTGAAGCATATCCCGAGCCAGCGCCTTGACCTTTAGAAGCCGAGCGCAGCCTGTTATCGCAAACTGATGTGTCAGCAAACGTGTCAGCATTTTCCTCCGGCAGCGTTATTGAGCACACCAAACTCGAAGGAAATATGATTCCTTACAAGGAATGCTTGGGCTGGGCTTTCATGTCACTCACATCCTGTCGCTTCCACCGACGGCACGGTTGGTCTCCGGGGTGTCGACTCCAGTACCGGAAATGAGCTTGTTGCGGGCTCGGTTGGTCGTGATACCCTGGGTCTTGCTGGGGCCGGCCTGGGTGGTGGGCTGGCCGGTGGCAGCATCCGTGCGCTGGTGGCCCTTATCCTCCGTGGTCTGGGCAGCCTGGGCAATAGCCTGGGCGTTCTTCTGGTACTTGTAGACGGTCCAGTCGAAGACATAGTCGTACTGGAAGCCCTCCCGAACGAACAAGTCACGGAAAATCTTGCGGAGGTAGCTGTAGTCGGGCTTGTCATCGAATCGGAGGGACCGGGTGTAGTTCAGGTAGATGGCAAACTCGTTGGGGAAGCCACGGCAAAGCACCTCGGTCGGGGTGGTCATCTTCTTCTCCATAATTCGGTCGTACTTCTGCTTCTTAGTAGCAGCCTTCAGGCCCTGCCAGGGTAGAGAGCCACGGCAGAAGTAGAGCATGACGTAGCCCAGAGACTCCATATCGTCGCGGCGAGATTGCTCTGCCATTGTCATCAGTCATCAAGTTCGGGGACAAGGGGTTGAATAATACGTACCGACACCGAGATGGGTGTTGATAGAAGCATACCGGGCAGTGCCGGTAAGGTTCTTATTCTCTCTGTACGGGATGTGGAAATGGGTCTTGGGGTCACGGTATTTCTTCGCCAAACCGAAGTCGATAACATTGACCTGATTGCCCCGCTTGCCAATTCCCATCAAGAAGTTGTCCGGCTTGATATCACGGTGGATGAACGACTTGGCGTGGATGTACTCGATGCGGGAAATGAGCTGATCGGCCAGAAGGAGAACAGTCTTGAGCGAGAACTTTCGGTTGCAGAAGTTGAAGAGGTCCTCCAAGCTGGGGCCCAGAAGATCGAGGACCATGGCGTTGTAGTCACATTCGGTGCCAAACCAGCGGACGAACGGGATGCCAACTCCACCGGCCAGGGACTTGTAGACGCGAGCCTCATACTCAAGCTGGGGATGCTTGGCCTTGACGCTCTCCAGCTTGATGGCAATCTCCTCACCAGAGATGATGTTGGTCCCGAGGTAGATGTCACCGAAGGAGCCGGAGCCGATCTTCCGGCCAATACGGTATTTATTACCGACGCGGAGGTCCTAGGAGCCAGAAAGTCAGCAAACTAATTGAAAAGCTTAACCGTGTCGACATATCATTCGGGCGGTCCCTAATAGGAGCACCCAGTCGTGACGAATGGACGATGTCATGGACCCAAATGATTGATTTGTGTGAAAGAAAGAAGTTGACATACCATGGTCGTCATGGCTGCGGTGATATCTCGACACCGGCCGAGGAAGACTCAGCGGGAAAGATGGATCGAGGGGAGGAGTCGGTTGTCGACTTGGTTGATACTAGTCTAGATAGAGCAAATAAATAGGTCAGTGTCGGCTGAGATAAGGTACGAGTTGGTAGGTAAATTGATTGAGCGGTGAGTTTGGTTTGTTTGACAAGCCAAGAAGTTGACGTGAATGAAGGCGGGAAGCTTGCGTGGTAAATGAGGTGAGGCGAAACGAGGCAGGGCGGCCCTTCAAAAGCGAGCCTGAGGGGGCAGGGGAGAGTGGAGTCACTTTCACCGATGGATGTTGAAATCAAGGCTGTGAAGCTGATGCCAACAGTCGGGAAGATGGCGATAAAATTGATGCAGATAAATGGGGAAGATTTTACCTTGCTGAGAAATATCGCTCCGAGTCACTTCGGAACGATACACGGTCGAGGCGTGGGAATTGAATATCGAGGCCTCGGACGTCTCGACGGGGGCTGCAAGTTTGATCGTGGGCGGTCTGTCGATGGGTGGGGGATGATGAATCGGTTGAGTTGGGAAGTGGTTGGATTTAACCCGGCCCTAGAATGGCAGGGAGTGGATTTTGTGGGAAAAGGCGGAGAAGGGAGAAGGCAAAAAGAGAGAAGCGAAAAAATATCCCTCAAATACGATTTCTTGAACCCAAATTGTCCCTTTTATGCGAAGTTGAGGGCGAGTGGGTTTGATGATAGAGTAGAATCAAGGCAAAGGGCGTAGGAGAGGGGGAGGGTGTTAGAAAAGGGCGAGACTGGGAGAGAGTGAAATGTCCAGGTGGTCCAGGTGGTCCAGGTAGGTGCCCTGCCGCAGGGATGGAAGGTGCCAAGGCCTCCAAGAATGAGCAAAAGGTACTAAGCTTTCTAGTACCTAGGCTGCGAAATTTGGGCCTGGGTGAACTTTGAAACAAGGTACTCGGGAGTGGCCACCGCATGCATAAATGCACGGTGTGAAAAGAAAAACGAGAGGGAAATGGCGAACTATGCGGGCAGCCAGTAGAAGAGGCAACTGGGCTGGGGCACTGGGCAGCTGGGCTATCTCCGGTGGCCAGTTGGCCGGGATTTGGCGGCTTGGTTGCGCGTTAGTCAGGCAGAAACGGGGCAGGTTCGCGACCCAAGGCTGCCGCCGCGTTCATCCAAGAGACGGGCGACTCGCATAATCAAAGACCAGACAGAGCCTCGAACGCTATCCCTCCATACGTCCCAACTTTGCCACAGTCGCTCTTCGGGCACAGATTGACGTTCACAGATTGACATGATACGTTCAGCGACAGGCAAACCCAATGCGTGCCAGCAACCGGTTCTAGATCCCGACAACTTGGGACGGGCCTATCACATATTTTCGAGAAGCGGCTTTGGAGGATTTGGCGCTTAAACATGAAGAATCCAGTCCCACTTCCGTATGTGCAAAGAGGCAGGCACCTAATAATAGCAGGGCGTCTTACGAAGGGATGATTCCCGACAAAGCAGGAAATTGATTGGGCAGAGGATCAATGCAAACTTTAAGGACAGCAACAATAGCACAATAGCACAATAGCCTACGTACGGTCGGTTCCAGACAGCCGCAATGCACCCAACAGGAGTCCACAAATACCGGATCTTCCTCGTACCTGACAAATTCAGTGCCTTCCCCAATGGCCTTCGTCAGCTAGCATCCATCTCGTGATGACGGGCGGCAATCGAGGGCAAACTTTTCGGCCAATTTAGCCCGAAAAGCACTGTAGCGGAGATCGCCGCCATTTCCTGCGAGCCACCCTCACTGAGGCTACCGCTTCCGTGGATGCTGCCGAATCTCTCTATCAGAGATAGGTACGCAGCCTGGTGCCATTTTACCCCGATGTGCCAGAGCGCCCAAAACTCAGTATCGCCGATACTTCGCAAATTCATGCCCTAGAGTCTGCTTGCTTGGACTTTTGGCGACACACGTGTAGTAAGGTAAGGGTCAGCTCCTCACGTCCTCCCCAGTTTCCAGTTGCCATGATACAACGCGTAGACAATGGAAGTATATACTCTGTATGTAGTAACTTGCCGGCAAGGTCTCGGACTCTGGACTCTTGGCCCCTTGCTTCTCCTGAGCTCATGTGCGTTGCACAGAGCTGGGCTAGAAGCCCAGAACTCCTAAACCCCGTCCAATCACGGCTACAACCACGCCACGCCGAAACGCCAGGCCAGTCCAGAATGCCCAGAATAGCACGCAGCAAACTTGGCAGGAATTATCCGAGAAGGACCTCAGGAATGAGCGGATCCGGATCCGGATTCTTTCAATTGGACCTCGTATCGCGAATTGTTTAGTGACCCTGAAGGAATGCACAAATGAACGTCACCCGTAGCAAGTCCGTACTTAGTAAGCTACGCCCCCTGGTACCAACGCAATCCTTGTCCGGCCTGATCAAAGGCTTGGATGGTCCCGTCGTCAAACCCGGTCAACCCCGCCGGTACCTCCGGGCTGTCCGCCTTGGCAACGGACGACAAAACTTAGTGCCACCCGTCCCTTTCGGCTCAAGTTTTGAGAGGTTTCATACTAGGGCGTAGAAATATGTGATGTTACGCATACCGTCCCTTCTGCATGGAAACGGAAGAGGGGCCTCCCCAACCTATCTCTTTGGATCGTCTCAATCGTGACACCCTTTCAAGTCGTCCGATTTCAAACCGGACGGTGTCGGACCGCAACCGACCACAGCTACTTCTAGAGTAGCAATCCCGGAGGGTCTGGTGGCTACACTACGTCCTTGATAATACCGTCCTTTTTCGTTTGATTTTTTTCCAAATGACACAAAAAGGGAATTTCGTGATCATGCCCGTCATAGAATATAGCAGAACACATTTTCCGAATCACTTCCTATCAGCTGTCATGTTGGTTTGGGATAGAGAATAGAACAGATATGTATGTACCGGCCCGGAATTTCGTGAGCCCCATAACAATATAAACATAAACATAACCCCCCCTCCCCCCAAAGGGCAAAGCCACCGCCCCTCAGACACCCACCGTCTCGGCCGTCTTCTCCCGCACCTCCCCCTCCGCCGCGCCCACCGAGGTCGGGGCCGCGGCTGGGACAGGGGCATCATCGCCCATATGGCCCTTACCCTGCAGTCTCTTCGCGACATTATTGTGCAGGAATTTCTCCATATTCGGCACGAAGAAGCTAGCGACGATAAGGATGACGCTGAAGGGGATAGTGCAGAGGAACACCATCCTGAAGCTTCGCACGTGCGCCGTCTTGAGCGCCTCCGCGACAGCCGCGACGACCCCCTCGGTCGCGCCGGGAACGTCGTCGAACCCCGCCCCGCCCGCCGCCGCCGCCAGCAGCGCCGCCAGCGACGACTCCGGCAGCCCGGCCTCCGTGGCCGCCGGGGACACGAACGCGGGTATGTTCTTCTTCAGCTCGTTCTGCAGCACCGACACGTACAGCGCCTGCGCCACCGCCCCGCCCATGCCGCGGATCGAGCCCAGGACCCCCGTCGCAAGGCCGATGTCTTGGGGCTCCAGTACCAGGGTCACGCCTGGGAAGGAGATGTTCTCGATGTAGCCGATGGCTTGGGGCTGAGCGTTAGCTCCCGTTTGGATGAAGGAGAGGAGGGGCTGGGGGGAGGAGGGGGAAGATAAATCACGGAGCGCCGAAAAACAAGCTTACCGATGCAGCCCAGCGTGCCCAGGGCTATTGTCATAGCCCACGAATCAGGGGTTAGGGTCACGAGCGGGGTGATGAACGCCATGGCCATGCAGGCGGCGACGACGGCCTGGATCTTGAGCCTGGGCACAAACGAGATGGCCATGCCGCCGAACGCCTGGCCCAAGAGGACGCCGCCGCCCACGACGGAGCTCTGGAGACCGATCTTGATGGAGTCGGTGGTGTAGACGGTCCCGATGATGGTTGGCCACAATATGGTGAGCGAGTAATAGACCATAGACCCGATCGTAGCGATAACGATAATGGCAACGAAACCGATGTTCTTGAAGAGTCGCGGAGGCATGAACGGTTGCGTCTTGCAGACCAATCCCTCTGTCCAGCGATTCATATTTAGCAGGTTTTCTCCATAAAGGGGAAGCGGAAGGGGGGTAGGGAGTTTGAAATAACACACCATAGAGGGCGAAGCCGGCCAGCGTCGTGATGCCGAGCAAAAGGGTGCACAATGTTGGGGCGCTGACCCAGGGGTAGGCGAGCCCCCCCCAGGACAGGCCAATCAGGAAGAGGACACAGCCGGAAATGAAGAGGAAGATGCCAATAAAGTCCAGCTCCTTGAACATCTGCCATTTCGTCTTTCCGTGCACGTGGAGCTGATCATAGGTCGGCGGATGGTAGAAGAAATGGTACAGGACGCCTGTGATTACACCGAGTATGATCCCGATGTAGTAACTCCACCTCCAGCCAGCGGCCGTGTTCTGGATCAGCAGCCGAGCAATGACGGGGCCGAAGACGGCGAACGGGAGGGACGAGAGGAAGACGACGGTGACGATGGGCCCACGGTACTTGTTCGGGACAAGCTCGCCTAGGAAGATGCCGAAGGAGAGCTGGCCAGCAGCCGAGAGGCCGTTGCAAGCATTGGCTCCGATCAACATCTCGACGTTGCGGGCACATGCGCCGATGATGCAGCCGATGATCGAGAGGCCCGTTGTCCCCATGACGACCCATTTGCGGCCGAATATGTCCGACAGGCGGCCGACGAGGAGGAAGCCAATGCAGCTCGAGAGTGTCCAGATGGTGGCAACCCAGCTGATATTTGGCGAGTTCCCAAGGTCGGCGTTGATGATAGTCAGAGTGTTGGCTGGCAACACCCAGCCCAGGTACGCAATTGTGGAAGCCAGACATTGCGCCTAGATATACGCAATGTTAATACCCCTTTACACCAACCAAGGTACGCCATAATAGGTGAGTGGCCACAGCGGATGGCACGAGGGTACTGACCACAACAGTGCCAATGAACTGGGGACTACGGAAATAACCCTTGGGAAGATTCTCGGAATCACCACCAATGGCACGGGCATCGATGTAGTCGACAGTCCCGTCGGCGTGGACGACCTTGGCGACATCCCGTTCGATATGTTCAGCACGAGATCCCTGCACCTTGATGTCGACAGACTGGCTGTCAGCCATGGTGCCTGTGTTGCGTTGCGTTTCGATTTGGGGGGCCTGTGACTTGAGATGAAGGTGCGCACGGGTATGATGGATCAGGAGAGGTTGTATGAAGCCCGAGCCCGACGAGTTAACATACGGAGTAGGAGGGAGGGCAAGGGGGGGCTTATATCTATCAACCTACCCCATGTTGGGGAAGCATGGAGAATTTCCAAGGATTGTGGGGGAATGGGGAATGGGGGACCAAACCAAGCTATATGGGATCAGGGTTCCGGTTGGGAGAGGTATCAGCTATCCAGGTAGCCTGGTAGTGTGTCTACGTAGTAGGTAAGGTAGAGAATAGGCCAGCTCCCACGAGGGCCAAGACGGTCTAAAAATGTGTGCCCATGGTCTCGGATTGCCGATGTGCAAGTGCCGACTTGAGGAGATCATTACATCGCGTGGCAGCATGCAGTCGCTTCAGACGGGAGCTTTCCGTCCTGTCGACCAGTCTGCTGGGAAAGCATTTCCTGGAGGATATGTGCAGCCTACCTACCTACCTTCGTAGAAGGTACAGGCATTTTAGCTATGAGTCCAGCCAGAGCTAGCCTCGTAGCCAAGGCGGATTAGCGAGATACCCTGCGTATTTCAGCAAAAGCGCATACATATGGAGTTGGGGGCACGACGTCTGGGTGGCAATCGTTACCCGGCATATCGAACTAAACCTGGGCCTTTTATTAGACCAACCCAAATCAGCCTGCCTACCTCAACCTTAATTCAAGTCAGTCGCCTACATAGTAGGGTTGTTATTACAGTCAGTTGGCCAAGACCAACCTTGAATAGGTGCGGTTATCGTTAAGACACCCTCGAGGATATATGTTTCCCCCTGTCAAGGGGCCAGCCCACTTTCGACTGCACCCTTTTTGCTACGACCATGGGCAATGGGCCTCGCTGCAGAAAGTGCCATCCCCTTAAGGCATGGGATCTGCCAGATGATCCAACTTAGAATCGCGTAAATCATAGTCCAAACAGACATACTCGTATACGAAAAGCATAAGGGGCCGCCTTCCGCCTCATCAAATGCGTTCTGGCCCTCCCCAATTTTCTTGTCCATCCTGGATCCTGATAGCCACAGTTCTGGAGAATGGCTTCCAAGCGGGATATACGTCGTATGACACACCATGCCAATGCTTCAAAGAGTGGGTACGCCTTCGCGGACGAAGGGGATACATCCAAACAAGCCTCTTTATGTGATCTATTGGATTTCCGCCACGTTATATGGAATAAAATTTTACCTTCTCCAATTTGTTGGGTTTCGCCAAGCTTCGTTTGCGAGGGTCCGAGTCAAGCCAAGGAGATCTACTGTGCATTGACGAGTACGATATCCGGATGGCCTAGATGGACCGATGTTGTAGGCCCAGAAGCTGACGCAGATCACTGGAGTCTTAGATAGGTATTCGAGTTGGGCTGGATAAGCCCTTCCTGACCGGAATTCCATTTCATGGACTGGTGTACGCGGCCGGGGTCGCGCTCTATGACCATCGTCTAAGCCCAGCCCTGATGTGTTCCCTTCTCCCGCCCTGGCCTGGCTGACGTTGAGTACGTTGAGTGGGCTGGGACACAGGCTAGCAGCAAGAGACGAGATGGGTTGCTCATCCTGCTGTGGCCATGGGATAGCAGTGTACGAGCCCCAAATCCCGAATCCCCGGTACTCGGGGTCTGGGGGTTGCAGGACGCACGCATAGGTGGCAGGTCGCGCCTGCAAGCGAAGGTAGCTAACTTTTAGAGCTCCAGGACATTCATATTGCACTGTCATCTTCAAAGCGGAACGCAGCAATGGACCACGATCTCCGGTCAGGCAGCGCCGGTTCAGGCAGCGCCGGGATAGGGGTGGTGGGTGAAATCGCGAGTGGCGGGAATATGGACCCGCTTCAAGCTGTCGATGGGGTGACGCAAAAAAGATGTCTTGTTTTGCATTGTTCCGCTGTTCATACCATCACGCTATCTTGCAAGACTTGATTCTCAATCTGTTTCCCGAGTTGAGCTGGCCAGTCGTACTCCACTCCGCCGTCCTGGAGATTTGTTTGCCCTATAATGGCTGGACCCACGTTCAAGGGCAAGGGCTTTACTTTATGTCTAATTTTTGGTTCCAACTAAATATGGTACAGCACGCTATTGTACACCAAATACATCAACATTGGCAGACCTGCTGACGTTGTACATGTTGCCCGATACCTCCGGGCCCGCGAAGGCGGCGCATAGCTCGACGAGGCGCTGTGCGATCAGCTGGGCAACGGTGGTGCTCGGGAGGGGCGGAGACGTTCGAGAATCTCGGCGCCCAATAACTCGAGCCATGAGTTAAGGTAGAGTAGAGCTTGGATATAATCGATCAGGTGAGGGGCCACGCAATATCATGCAAGATTCAGCTCGTTCGATGCCGGGGGTTGAGGTGCCTAAGACATAGCTGTTAGTAATTCCGTAACCACAGGCATCACCGCATTCCCACTCACCTCTAGTTTTGTTGAGCCGGCAAGCATCTTTTGGAACCCAATACCAACACCTTCAATAACCGCCAGCAAGACCGCACAACCTATCGCACCGTTCCTCGCAGCCTTGAGACCTCCTCTCATGGCCAGAGAGCCGCCGGTCATGAAACCTGCTCCGATAGCATTGTAAGGATCTTCCCTCTTGCGGATACCCTTGATTGCACAATCGTATGTACTGAACAAGCCACCCCAAACACCAAAGTTGCCGCCCAGGACAGGAGCTCTAGCCTTGATGCTGTAAAAGCGTCGTCGTTAGAGCCTATTTCTCTCTCAAAAATATGTTAGGGTACCATACGCAGTGACGGAGCCAAGCAGCCTTTCGTTGTGAGGACTGTTTCTGAATCCCTTGATACCATGCCATACTGAACCACCTATTGCCTAAGATAACAAAGATATCAGCTGTGTTCTCCGATGTCTCGAGCGTACAGCGGTATGGCGACGAGGCGAGGCGGCCGATACTAGAAGCAGAAGGTCGAAGGGATCGGATCGGAAGCAGGGAGTGACTTACGCCCATGCCTAGAGGTACAGTTAGCGGGAGGTCGCGCAAATGGGAGAGGGAGCATTACAAAACGCGCCCCCAAAATCGTTGAGAACGACGAAGGGGCACGGATCCCGCGTGTGATCGAGCGACATTGACATTAGCGGACTCGTCAATACGTCTTGACGAACGGACTCGAAGATGGCAACGATAACCTATGATGCAAAAATTGGTTGATTCAAGGTTGTTAAAATTTGGGAAGGGGGTGTAAACCGGCAGAATTTAAAGCGGGTTCGTGGTTTTAGTCAGCACTTATCGCGCTTCGACCAAGCTCTCACTGCTCACTGTAATCTGTACGCAGTAATAACCTAGCGGGCCTAGCTAGGAGGTACTACCTGCCGTAGTCAGGTGATGGAAGTGTTCGGAGTATGAACTACAAAAAATGATCGTCGCCCAGGTCAACGGCGGGCAGAGCAAGAGCGGTTGCAGGAGAAAAGAGTGCAGGTTTAGCCGCTAGTTCGTTTCCCGCTTCACACATTTTCTGTTACAATCAAGCGGCCATGCTGAGGCCGAGCGCTCTGTGACGCTTAAGATCATCGCGCTTATTGGTAATTCGCCGTGACAGGTGCGTTTGTGGTGGCCAGGGGCAGGAGGCAGCCGGGTTAGCCTCTCAATTGGCCGCCACTCCTTCCCACTGCTCCTAGTGAGGCTGAACATCCTGTTAATTTAAGACACACATCCCAGCCAGCGCAGCGCATCCTTGTTCCTGTTCCTGCAAAGTGAGCTTGGCCATCGATTAACAGAGGTACTCATCCAAATATGGCTTCCTTTCCATCCTCGTCATCCTCATCATGACCCAATATCACATCGAGAGCCCGGATATTTCATAGCCGCGCACAACCGTCCTTCGTCCACTGTGGTCGAGCCTGGCTGGGTTGGATTGGGTTGGATTGGGTTGGATTGATTTGGTTTGGCTCTGGCTGCGCATCTCGTGCTTCGGCGGCTCGGATCGGTCTAGACCGGGGTTGAGCACAGCCTCACCTAGACGACACCTCACCTTGGCAACCGTTGAAATCCATCCACTGCCGTCTTTCTTTTCTCTGAATTCCTCTCACTTTTTGCCATGGTTAGCGATGACACGCTGAGTATGGCAGCGTCGCTGTCATCGCGCGCCGCGCCCGTCGTTGCACGGTCGACCTCGATATCGTCGGGAGCTATTGCGGGGGCGACAATTGGCTCGGTCGTCGGCGCCTCGCTGATCTTTCTCTGCCTCTTGCCTTTTATCCTTCGCGCTAGGCGCCAGAGAGCAGCACGCCTCCGAGACGGAGACCAAGAGGCCGAGGAGATAGGGAATTTACCTGCGGCCTCTTTCTTCCCACGCCCTCATTTCGGGGATGCCTTCCTTAGGAATCATTTTGCCCCGGGGTCCGGTCCTGGGCCCAGCCACACGCCCACTTCCGTGAAAGAATTTGATGTCGAAGGGGGCCCGGACAGCCCTTGCCAGAATGAATCGTCAATTGAGAATCCGCAGCAACTGTCGAATCCGCCGGGAGTCTATGTTGAACATGGCCTTCCCTCACCTATCTCGCCTCCACTACCAGCTACCGCCAGCTTCCCCCCGCCCTCTGGCTGGGTAGGGGGCCGTTCACCTACCGCGGATGCCGAAGCGTCTGCCCCGACTTCGCCATTGCAACCGTCCAGTGAAGTGCCTGGACTTGATGCCGCAGCCGGCTTCAGGGATCAGCGTACGGGTTCATATGGCCCCCAGGCCGCCACTTTGCTGCCCGAAGGCATCACCGAGGAACCGGAAGCCATTGTGCCAGGCGGTGCGCTGCAACGTCACTCAAGCAGGCGATCCAGCCATCTCTCGGATACCGTTCGACAGTTAGCACGCCGGGCGTCCGCCGCCATTCGCCGAGCCAGTACCACGTCGACCGGCGAACGGAGTATGGCCCTTCGCTCCCCGTCAATTGACCCGGGAGATATTCTGGAACCGACGATGTCAGCGCCGGCGACATTTGAGCCAGTAGATACAGAAGCTCGGGGCGAAGCATACTCGTATTATCACGATGTTGATGGCCTCCCCGCGCCGACTGGCCCGTATGGACCACCACCACTATCCATCTCCACTTCATGTGCACCGCCTCCGCCACCTGGACAAGCCGGATTTTTCACGTCTCCCACACAGATCCCAACTGTAACTCCAATCAGCCCTGTGTCCCCGGTCGCAAGGCATGTGGGGGATATCCCGGCTGCGCATGAATTCTCCCAATGGGCGGCCTCGGGCGATGATAGCCGGGGGCTGCCGGATCTTAAGTCGCCATCACTCCGTAAGAAACGGGCATTTCCAGAACCAATCCAGCGGATGGACAGTCTTCCCCTTCAAGGCTTTATGTCGGACATTCCAAGTCCACCTCTACCTCCGAAGGCCGAACCAAGCGTGAATCCAATGGATATCATGAAACCGAGCACCGATACCGAGATGGGATGGATGGTGAACCAGGAGTTGGTGAAGATGGCCAGCTCTCCACCTCCTCCCGCGGACCAAGCTGCCGGTGCCATGCTCGAGCCACCTGGACAGCCAACGCCAGACCCTACCCCCGACCCCACGCCCGAGCCGGAATCCAAGCCACCTCCCGAGATCGAGATCAACGGGCAAGACGTCCAGATGAGAGAAGCTTCTGTGTGGTCAACGCCACGTCCCTCGTCCGGTATTTCGAATTATACGAGCCCTGATAACACTCCGGACTCGCGACCCACGCCATACACCAACACCCCTTCCCCGAGATCGAACGATGGAGGCAGCTACAAGCCAGACTCATCTCCTCGACTGTTCCCTTGCGAGGAATGCCACCGAGTATTCGACCAGTTCCATAAGCTCAAGTAAGTCCAAAAACGCTCATCATTTCTCGGACCATGCTAACGATGGGGGCCCCAGCCATCACAAGAGATACCACGAGCGGCCCCACGAGTGTCCTCACCAGGGCTGCAGCTTGAAGTTCGGTACTAAAACCCACCTGGACCGCCACATAAACGACAAGCATAATAAGACGAGGAAGTACTACTGTACACAGCAGGGTTGCCCCTATTCCAGACAGGGCGGCAAATCATTCCCTAGGAAAGACAACTGGAGGAGACATATGGTGAACAAGCACAACCTGACCAATATTGCCGACCCTGGAGTGGAATACGTGGACGAGGTCGTCATGGGTGGAACCTGAGAAGATGGGGAAAATGGAAAGATTTGGACCTCTAAGCTGTGACTCGATCCGCGAGGGAGAACACTTGCACTGTTTGCATCAACGAGAATCGTCAGCCGGTATCCTCACTCGTCTACCGTGTTCCCTACCATGTTGGTTACGGAATTACAGGGACCATTTCCAACCCCGATTCCTCGAAGGAAAGGATCTCAGATGCATACCAGTTACGATCCGCCTTGATAAGAGCAAGGCCGGCCGAGTCCATAACGTTCAGGACAGGCCTGGGCCAGGGCTTAATGCAGGCGGAGGCGATGGGCCGCGGGGGAACTTGCTATGAGGCAGTGTGTCCTGCCCAAGCGTGCCATCCGCGTACGTACGTATCACAACGAGGCTTCGCGAGAATTTTCCAAAAAAAGGAAAGAGTTACGATGGCATAGATCATGAGTACAGTATCTCCCCTGGCACCCAGCATTGTGCTGACGCCGGAGCGGCTGGTATAGGCTAGCGTGGGCCTTGGTGGCTCCGATTGCCTTGTTTGTTTGTTTCTTTCGGGATGAACTGTATCGGGCGATGTTTCCGATTCCTATGCAGACTCGACTCGATTCTACCAGGTTACGGTGTTTCAGGGTGGCGCGATTACGGGGTTCAAAAGCGAGTTTAGCGAGTCGTTGAGAAGGTTGGGAATGTCGACAACGATAAGCGTTCCTGTAGGGTGTTATCCGGGGCTTCCTGGCCTCTTCCTGGGGTATATTGTTTTTCTTTTTTTCAGCTCTATTCATGCTCTTGTAAGAGCAGATCAAAGCGTCCCAGTATAAAATACACGGTAAGAATAACTCGACATAGATGCCTTACCCTGCATCTTATCCCAATAACTCTTCCTGGGGTATATGTGTCCTCACTCTCTACTTCTAATGCGGTGAACAAGTCGCTTTCTCAGCCGTCTCCCAGTGACAGCATGCGCCAGCGTCCTCTCCTCCTCTCAGGCTTCTAAATGCGCATCGCAGGGTTTAATGCCCTGACGGCAACCAGCCATCCAACCGCATACTGAGCCAGGAGCTGCGTTTCCCCCTTCCAAATACGAAAACTTAGGTAGGTAGGTACTCGGCTCCAGCATCACCTCGTCTCCTTCAGCAGCCTCCTCACCATCTTCCTCTGCGCCTCAACGTCCAAATTGCCATCATCCGTCTCCTTCAGCGCCCTCCCCACCAGCACAATAGTCCTCGTGTCCTCGCTACCCACCCAAACCTTGCCATTCCTCCCCACCGCCGTCTCGAACGCCAGCCCCTCGGCGCCAAGAATATCCAGCACCTCCACCCCACCACCACCACCACCACCGCCGCCGCCACCGGCCTGCCGCGGGGCCATGAGCAGCCTCCTCGCCAGGCCGAGCGAGATGGGGAAGGCGCAGCCGCCGACCAGGGGCCCCAGGCCGTCGGCGCGACCCGTGGCGGCGGAGACGCACTCGAGCTCGGCGTCCATGTGGCGGTTGGCCAGGGCGACGCGTGCGTAGACGAGCTGGCCGGCGGCCAGGACGGGGCGCGTCTTCTTGGTGGCCGACTCGAACGACAGCTGCGGGAGCGTCGCGTTGGGGGTGTGCGGCGCGAGGGAGACGTAGTAGGTGTCGGCGCCGCCGTGGTGGATCTGCCCGATTACGAGGTCGCCTTGGGAGGGGACGTACTGGGTTTTGGGGGTTAGTGTTGGGTGGTTGGTTGGTTTAGTGGGGATGGGGAGGTGGATGGCGGACGTTGGGATGTCGGAAAAGGACAGTGAGTGAGGAAGGAGTGGGGATTGAACTTACTCGGCCGCCATTGTATTCTACCCACATGGAATTCTTCTTGCGGTCGGTTACCAGCTGGCCGGCCATGGTGGGCACGATGACACTGGGGGGGATGTGCCGGAGGCCAGGGCCGAGACGGAGAGGCAACTTCTTGTGTGTGGGTATTAGGGAAGGGTCGATTGTGTCCCCTGGGAGGACGATGGGATTTTCGGCTTCCATAGTTGCGATACGTTGGTATCCAGGTAATGGCAGTGTCCGCGAAGAATCACGATGCAGGGAAGGAATGGGGTTAAAGATTCAAAGGGCAGTATCTGTATTGGGATATCGCATTGGGGTCAGCCTTGTCAAGTTGTCCCCACCAAGCCTTGGTGGGGTCGTTGCTACTCAGTTCTGGTTTTTTTTCACCTTGCAGGGGGTCCACCCGCCAAAAAGTTCTTGAATCTCAAGCAGGCCGAATTTTTTTTTCTGCACCTGAGATCAACCTGCAGCCGCTCCTCGTCCCTTCTTTGACAATCTTCGAGACGTCACATAACCCAGATACACGTACCAAAATCAGAATCGCCTTTATCAGCACTTATGAGTGAAACGGCGGGTGCTAAGCCTGGCCCCGAGCCGGGCGACCGCGTTGCCATTGGAATCACCATTGGCAACTCGAACAGCTCGATCGCATACACTATTGACGACAAGGCTGAGGTCATTGCCGACGAGGATGGAGGTGAGGGGCAAAAAAACTAGATTATTCTGCTTGATTGAACCTTTGCTGACGTTTTGGCTGTTATAGACCGACAGATTCCCACTATCCTGTCTTACGTCGACGGCGACGAGTACAACGGCGGCCAGGCAAAAAACTTCCTTGTCCGGAACCCGAAGAATACTGTCGCCTACTTCCGGGATTTCATAGGGAAAGAGTATGCCGGCACATTTGTCCAATTGAATTCCAAATGGAGGTCTCCCTCGCTAACCCTGTTCACAGATTCAAGTCCATTGACCCGACACACAACCACGCCTCGGCCCATCCCGAAGAAGTTGACGGTGTGGTCTCCTTTACCATCAAAGATAAGGGAGGCGAAGAAGATGCACCGTCGACCCTCTCGGTTTCTGAAGTCACCACGCGCTATCTCCGTCTGCTCATCACCTCTGCCTCCGAGTACCTGGGCAAGAAGGTCACCTCGGCCGTCATGACCGTCCCTACCAACTTCACCGACAAGCAGAAGGCAGCCCTGGTCGCCGCCGCCAACGCGGCGGGCCTCGAGGTCCTGCAGCTGATCAGCGAGCCCGTGGCCGCGGTCCTCGCCTATGATGCGCGGCCCGAGGCCGTGGTCGAGGACAAGATCGTCGTGGTCGCCGACCTGGGCGGCACCCGCTCCGACGTTGCCGTCCTGGCCAGCCGCAGCGGCATGTACACCCTCCTGGCCACGGCGCACGACTACGAGTTCGCCGGCGCCTCCCTCGACAAGGTGCTTATGGACCACTTCGCCAAGGAGTTCATGAAGCGCAACCCCGGCGTCGACCCCCGCGAGAACGCCCGGTCCCTAGCCAAGCTGAAGTTCGAGGCCGAGGCCACCAAGAAGGCCCTGAGTCTGGGCACAAATGCCAGTTTCAGCGTGGAGAGCTTGGCCGAGGGGATCGACTTCTCGAGCACCATCAACCGGCTGAGGTACGAGACCATCGCCCGCACCGTCTTCGAGGGCTTCACCCGCCTGGTGGAGTCGGCCGTCAAGAAGGCCGGCCTGGACGTGCTCGACGTCGACGAGGTGATCCTGTCGGGCGGCACAGCGCACACGCCGCGCATCGCGGCAAACTTCCAGTCCATCTTCCCGCCGACGACCAGCATCCTGTCGCCCTCGACGAGCGTCACGGCCGTCAACCCGTCGGAGCTCCAGGCCCGGGGAGCCGCCCTGCAGGCCAGCCTGATCCAGGAGTACGACGCTGAGGACATCGACCAGTCCACCCACGCCGCCGTGACGACGGTCCAGCACATCACCAACGCCATCGGCGTCGTCTCCCTGTCCGAGGACGGCCACGGCGAGGTCTTCACGCCCGTCATCGCCCCCGAGACGGCCCTGCCTGCGAGGCGGACAGTCCACCTCGCGGCCCCCGAGGAAGGCGGCGACGTGCTCGTCAAGATCGTCGAGGGCAACACGCACATAAAGGTGACCAAGCCCGAGCCGAAGCCGGCGGCGAACGGCGCCTCCACCAAGGGTGCGACGGTGGAGGATGCCAAGGACAGCGACAACGACTCGGACGATGACGACTCGGAAGAGGAGGAGGATGAGGAGGAGAGGCGCGAGAAGGTCTGGAAGATTGGCTCGACGCTCGCAGAGGCCGCCATCAGGGGGGTCAAGAAGGGCGGCAAGGTCGAGGTCACGATAAACGTCGCCGCCGATCTCGGCGTCACGGTCACGACGAGGGAGGTGGGCGCAAAGGGCGGCGTCAGGGGTACTCTTTAAGAGAGAGGCAGAGCGAGTAGGGTGTTTTGACTTAGAGAGGTCGAAGAGTAAGAAAAGGGAAGGGGGTAAAAAAAAAAGGAGATGAAGAAGAAGGACCCCTTTATCGCCGGTGCAAATGGCTTCGGTTCTTCGCTACCGGCGGGGAGGGGATGGCCATGACATTGGCATGTACCTGTGTGGGTGGAGTGGTACCGAGATCCTACATCTAGAGCGGGCAGTCGTATCTCTTCCCCGGAATCCCGACGACGGCTTCTCTCTACGGAGTAGGCGCAGTTAGGTTTTGGCTTCTGGGATGCATCCAGCATCGATAGAGACGGGATGGATGATTTGGTATCAAGGACGTCCTGTCAAAAAAGGTTTCCTCGGTAGATACACCTAGCTTAATTATATATAGAGCCGAGGTGGTCCCAAGTATAGAGCCGGTAGTGCCTATAAGCCTGTCTGTCTGTATCCAGAATGATCCACTTGAAAGTCGGGCAATGAAACATTGTTGCTAGTGTAGAAGCCTTCTAATTGTTATAAACAACAACCGCTCGCTCCCTTCGACCTACGACGCCAGACGCCATAAACCAAACCCCATCCAAATCATGAGACTGCCGCCGGCAAACTCCACGCAACCATGTCTTCCCGCACCTCGTACTCTTCCACCCCCCTCGGGCGCTTGAATCCGTCCCTCCCTCTGTCACTACTACTCCCTGTGGTCGTAGCCAAGCTCGCAAGACTCCCGCTCCGATTCCTCCCAGCACCCTCATCCTTGCCCACGTCCCGCCGCTCCTGATGACTTCGGGTCTGGATGTGGCGCGGCTCCACGACCCCCAGACCGGTCATCGCCCCGCCGCTGGCGCCGCCGCCGCCGGCGGTCGCCCCCGGGTCCTCGAACGCTGGAAACGCGGTGGCGGGCGCCCGGTCGCTAGGTCCGCTGTGTGCCCGGAAGTGGTGGCGCAACTTGGCAAGGTCGCGGGGTCGCAGCGTGTTCATCCCGTCCACGTCCTCGTCGGCGCCCGACGCGCTATCGTCGCGCGACGGGGTGATGCCGCCCGCCTGTTGGCGCAGGTCGGTGGCCGACCGCGACGACGGCGCGGAGCGCCTTCCCGTCCCCGAAGAGCTTCTGGCCACCCCGCCGCCGCTCGGTTCGTGCCGCGCTGCGTGGTCGTGTTCCACACCGTGGCTGCCGTTCGACAGGAAGCCGTTGCCCCCGGCGAAGATGTCCTCGATGCACTCGTCAGCCGGCAGCTCATCTGGCTGGCACGCCCAACTGGCGGCCAGGGCGCGCCGGTACATGTCCTGAACTTCGTGTGTGTCGCGCGACTTGTTGAGTGACGCCACCCGCGCCGCACCGTCCACGCCGGCTTCGGTAGAGCCCGCCCCCGCGCGGTCGACTGGCGGCTCGAGCGGTTCCCCCGGCATCATCCCCGCGATGCCGCCGAAGACGGGCGCTGTCTTGAGAGGGGGCGCGACGTAGTTGCGCTCGCCTTCAACCTGCACCATCAAGATCCCGATCTTCAGCGTACTGTTGATCTTGCTGTCCTGCATGAGGTAGCGTCGTATGACCCCGTCCTCAACGTCCGAGGTGGTGGCTGTGGCGTCCTCGCTGGCTGCGACCTGAGAGGAGTGGGATGCCTTCCGTCCAATGTCAAGCCCAATACTGCTACCGAGACTGCTGATTCCGCTCAGAGAGCTACGCTGGCGGGCATGGCCGCCGGGCTTGTCGATGGATCCACTAGAATTCGGTCGGACAGGCCCGGCACCCGGACGCAGTAGGGCCTCGCTCTCCTCGACGTACTCACTCAGATTGAGACGGACAGTGCCGAGGGTGATCTTCTCGTCTCGCCCACTCCCGCCGCCGCCGCCCGCGCCGGCGTTACCGAATTCCTGCATCACCTCAAACTCGATGGGGCACTCGGTTAGGTTGCCGGCGCGGTCGATAACGATGCGGAGCGGGACTATCTTGCAATAGCCATACTCAACCCGGTGATTGGTGATGGGGCACTTGTGGGTCCGGCTCCGGTGCTCGCCATGGATGGAATGTGGGAGATGCCATTTGACGAGGGATCCCCCTGAGATCAGGGGGACGTTGTTGAGATCGTAGATCTGAGGAGAGAAGGGAGGTTAGGGATGGAGCCTCTGGAGATCGTAAGGATCGCCGAATATGCATTATCTTGGCTCACAAAGGATTGAACCTCCTTCTTACCTTGAGATGGAGGTGAAACTTGGGCTATAGGAGGACCCGCTGTCAGCTGCCGAAAAGGTCCGGGAATGCTGGGACGACTCACCTTTCTAGCCTTGCTAACTAAAGGAAGGAACTGCATATCAGCTCAAGAAACCGGCTGAAATTGGCGACGGGGAAAAGGGCTGGCTATGGGATAGGCAGTAGACAGTGGGAGTTCATGCTCAATGGACAGGAGCCAGAACGACGCCAACACCAGGATTGTGTCAAGTCCATAAGTCATGGGAAATGATTGTGCTCAGACTCTAGCCATGTCTAGGACTTGCAATGGCGCCGGCAACGCGGACAGGAAAGATCGGGCGGGATCAAACAGAGAGAGAGCTTACTGAGGGACGCCATGACGGCATCGGATGGTAAAGAACACCTTCCGATTAGGATGGACCCACTGCTTACAGGAATGCAAGACAGCTAAATGCGTCAGTTTGTAAGGCAGGCACGGTCGGTTGAGCTCAACTGCCCGGATATGCAATCCCCATGTTCGAATTCTGCCTATAAATCGTGTGGCTTGGTATGAGCCTGGGGGTTCCAGAACCACGGATGAACGGTAGTTCGATGGCTTTACGTGATTTGACTAAGCCACACGGGCATGCCTGGCGGAGAAGGTCTCGACCTTGGGTCCCGGAATAGAACATTTCACGTGATTTTTCTTATCTGCCCGGTTTTGGCTGTCGGTTCCCGAAATCAAGCTTCGCCAAGACCTGGCATCCAAATGTCTTGTACGCATTCGTTCACGCAAGTATGCGTAGGTATGTAACTGTCTACAACTACCGAAGTAGCGGAGCCCTGGGCTCGTTGCATAGGATCTTGCTAGTTCGCCGGAAGCGCTGTTAATTCCATGTCCTTGCCTGTTTGCTTCCCATCCATGGATCTTACCTATTCAGGTATCCCGTTGATGCTGAGATCAAATGGACCCACCTCAGCGGTCCCTGCGCAGGTTCAGATGTTCAGCCAATAAAAATCCAAGCGAATTGGAGTACATCGTGTTGAATAACTGATAAGATAAAGCTCGACCTCAATTTTCTTCTTGTCCGCACCGCGTCATGATGTCCAGCAACGAAGCCTTCAGAAAACTACCAATGTCGTGATGAACGGGCAAACGGCCAAGGACCCCGGTAGGGGCCCGGAGGGGAAGAAACGGAAAGACCCGACCGCGACCAGCAATGGTTCCAAGGGCCAGGGCAAAGACGGCAAAGATGGACGCGCTCAGAAGCGTGCCAAATTTCGAGATGCGCGGGCCATACGGACTCAACCTTCAGACGCCGCTTTGAAAGACGGCGAGCTGGACCTGCAAGCATTCCTCAGTGCTCGCGAGTTTGAGATCAAGGCCCTCGAGAACAGCATGCGAAAGACCAAGGCTGCCAGCGCCTCGAGAGCCTTCCAGAAAGTCCCACGGGCCATGAGGAGGAGGACTGCGAGCCACAACGCCAACAGAGTGCCCAAGAGATTACGGGCAAGGGCTAGAAGGGAACAGGCCGAGGACAATACCCCAACAGTCGATGCTAGGAAGAGGAGGTCACGCACAACCCGAGCTAGAATTCGGTCTGAGACGGCGAAAAGGCTGGGAATACTCGCGGAAAAGAAACGGAAGTGGAAACTGAAGGCAGCTTCTCAAAAGAAGGCCGCCGCCACCGCCGATGGAAGCGCCGGTTTGGAGGGGCAGGTCATTCACACAAGGCCTGCGAGGCCCAAGATACGGCGAAACAGACTCAATGACCCCCAAAAACCAAAGTCAAAGTTTAGGAAGCGCCAGATCCACAAGACATGGCTGCCTACACACCTGTGGCACGCCAAGAGGGCGAGGATGACCGAGCCGAAGAACCCGCTTTGGAGATTTGCAATACCCCTGACCCCGACAGAGAAGTGCTACCGGCCTACTCACCGAGCCTCGGGTGAGAAAGGCGCCGTCATCTGGGATATGAGTTACATGAGTACCATCGGGCTGTATGGCTCTGCAGAGGGCATCGAACGAGTCCTGAAGGCGCTTGGGCTTACCCAAGAGAGCATATGGGGTCCCAGAGGGTGGAAATGGCGGGCTGGCTGCAAGAAGTGGTCCGGAATACTCAGCAAGGAAAGGAAAGGGGGTCGAAGAGATATCGGCCCTGCAGCCATAATATGGAACCCAGAAATGAGGTTTGAGCACGCCGCAGCAGGAGACCCAGCTCCTGCCAAGCAGGGTCAGAGGCAGCTCTTTATCCGCGTCCATCCCTCATGCTTTCTCGAACTGTTCAACGAACTCGTCAAGTTGGTCAAAATGCACACACCTCAGCTTTACGTCGAGGATCTCCGTTTTGAGATTGGCTGCGTTGAACTCACCGGCCCCGGTTCAACTGAAGCGCTGCTAGCGACCCTACACCCGTATCATCGCAAAGCTTGGGCCGAAGAGCGACATGCAACTGTCTTCAAATCACTTATCGGAGTGACAAATCCGGCCTCATTGCCGGCTGATTCTCTCCTGGCATTTTCAATCCTGGATCCTCGGTTGCGATATCCGCCAAAGCAGATGAAGCAGGAAACAGCAGGAAACGGAGATATCACCCTTCTGGAGACATTGGCGAAGTGGCCAGTAGGGGACACCACTAAGCAGTTTGGACTCATGGACAGAAATGCCCGTTTTGAGGCTGGGAGGCTGCCATCGCAGCAATCTATAAATCGCCGAAAAGGGTCTGGGCTCCCCGGTGAGACAATGGAAGCGACTGCCGCAGATCCTCCGATCCCGGTTATCTTACTGGTGTCGCGCCCGCCCGCGGGGGGACAGGTGCAAGGAACGTGGACCCTGCTCGCACCGTGGAAGTGCATACAGCCCATTTGGTACAGTTTGGTACATTATCCTCTCTCAACCGGCGGCAATCCTCGCGTCGGCGGGCTCAATGAGCTCAGACAGGTTGCCTTTGAGCAAGCCACCCCCTGGTTCCCCGGCGACTTCCCTGGAACCGACGCAGGCGCAGAATGGGAGCTCGAACAGAGGGCAAAGAGGAAATCGGAATGGGACCGTCGACCAAAGAGCAAGAGGGTGGAATGGAAATCACTCGACTTGGGTGCCGCACGAAAAGGCGAGGTGGGAGACGGTTTCGCGTGTGATTGGGAGCATCTCTTCGGTCTCGAGATGGACGTACCCCATGCCACGGCCGATGCGGACGAGTCACGTATGGACGATACGGCCAATATGGATATTGACACAACCGAGCCACCCGCAAGCAGCAAAAGTAAGGAAGCTCAGATCGGCAAGTCGCAAGAAATACTGGCCTTGGTGAACCAACTATCCAAGTCGGCCTTTACCGCTCTCGTCGCGCCATCGGCCATAGGAAATCCCCCGCCATTCTCTATCCTACCCGTCAATCTTGCTTTCGTCTCCAAGGGCGTGGCGACTACCTGTGCGAGAATTTATCGTCTCCCCAACCACTCTCACCTCACCGTCCTTCCGTCTACCCTTGCCGAGGTGCCCTCGACGCAGCTGCCGTTGAGTAGTAGTCAGACGCCTCTACCGACGGACATCAGGGATCAATGGCTCTCCAAGCTCCCATCAAAGTCCAAGGGTGGGAATTCGGCGTCTGCCAACAGGAACGGAACGGGCAAACGGATCCCGCCGCCGCCCCGAATCCCGCCAGGGGCTGACATGGCAACGCGGAAGCGTCTCGTTGCGGAGTCGCTTCTCGGCACACAACTACCCTACCCGAGACCACGGGCAAACCAGACGGATGTTGGGGGCCATCCTCTGTGCCCGGATGAGGAAGACTTGATCGGTTTTGTGACCGCGGGGGCGTTCAGTCTAAGCGAGGGGAAGGGGACGGCTATCGGAAGTATCTCTGCCGAGAAGGCATTGGAGGCCTTGACCGTGGCCGGCAATAGTAGGGAGGGCCGGCTTTGTGTTATCAGAAATGCTGGGGAGAGCGTCGGATGGTTGGCGCGTTGGGAACTTGTCTGACCGACGCTTTCCTTTTTGATGCAATGTATATCCTATGGATGTGGGGAATACACAAACTATTTCACCAAAGTCCATCCAGTTCGAGAGCAGTGTGACATTTCGGACCTAAGATCAAGACGGATCTGGCCGGCTTATTCTACGCGCCGCAGCAGATATACCACGATAAATCGGATTCCGAATTCCGGGACGGATGGCAATGTCCATGTTTCACACAGGTATATTTGCAACCGTGGCGCCAATATTGCGATCAGATAAGTATTGAGACCTGAGTTCACCTTGTCCGTTGGAACGGTACTTTTACACTTACATGGAATAAGAAACTGTCGAGGATCGGGACTCCACTCCCAAGTGAACACCGCACCAACACACAATCCAAAAGGTAGGGAGATCACCTGGGATGCGCGTCCAACGAACGGCTGAGATGGACACCCATCCCAACTGACCTGCCTACTATGCTAGGTAGCCAGGACACTAGGATGCCGAGATAGGAGAAGAAAGACAAGGCTAGAGGGGAATCAACCAACAGACAGCAAAAACAAAAGCAGAAGGCTGTCTGTCCCACATGATACCCCCTCAGCAACCCAATCGACACCCGCCAGCGCACCAAGACGCACCCTTCGGCGCCTTGTCCTCACTGCTCAGTGGATGGTGGCCCATTGAGTTCGGTGAACAGGTGACCCAGACAGCAATTTACATGAAAGTATGACCCCGCCGAATGGGTAACGACTTCCCTGCCCAACAAGCTTAACACGCAAGGCATTATATCATTATATCATTATACCATCATTCCTCATTATTCTGGTTTGAGAAACCATTGTGTCGTAACAGAACGCAGGGTATTGTTCAGTTCCCGCAGGCTACTAATAATGTACGGATACGCAGGTAATTGTTGGGGCATCGCCATCAATTGCACCCGTGTAGATAGAGTTGGCACGAGCAAACCTTGACGTCGGCTTTGAAACCTAAATAAACGCAGAGCAAGTGGACTCGATTCACTCGAAATACAACTGACACCCCTCCATGACTGGCTGATACGGCCCTGCTGCTCCTTCCCAGCTAGAGGCTTGTGAGGTTGCAGGCGGGAACGGCATGACTTGATGCCCTTGCCTCCTCTGGACTAGTTCAAAGCCCCTCTACCGGCAGGCGCGAAGCCAACCTCCCCGTCCCGTCACTCACCCCACTCTCAGTCATCAGTAACTCAGCAGCGGCTGCTTGTCATCACTGATCTGTGTGATTGATTCTCATCTCTGCGCCTTTCCGTCAGGCAGAAGAAAACAAACCAGCCGTGATCTGTCCGAAACGCCGACTGACCGCCGGGCCCACCAACTCTGTCGAGTCCTTGGTTCTCTGTCACGACTCTCAAACCAAGGCAACATTGTTCCCTCCCCTCGCACCCGCTGCTTGCTTTTCTCCCGCCCCCCGGTCCCAACCCGTCTCGATTGCAATCGCTCCGCCCGCTCCCTCAGCCGATCAACCCCACTCAAGGTAGATCATCGTTGGCCTACTACCCTTGGATTTCGACTTATAAGTGGACCAAATTTAACCGCATATCATGCTTCGAAAGCCCATCTGGGCCGCGCTCTAACCTCGCGCTCTAACCTCGCGCTCCAACCCTGTGCCATCCTGTTTCTCTGCGTCTCCTCCCCGCTGAATTTCAGCCTCACCCAGTGCATGGGTTCGCTCGCCTTCCCAACGCTGCTGCCCGAAGACATGGCATCTGCCACGACCCGGCCGCCCGAGCTTAGCGATCCCGAGTATGTGCAAGAGGTCTTGGGTCAGCCCGAGGGCTGGACGGAGCAAGATGTTGATGTGAAACTGGCTGCGAGGGCTTCCAAGCTAGGCATCGACTTGTCGCTTCTCGACTCTGGACCACCAACGACAGAGAAACCAGGCACCTCGAGTGCCGAATCTGCAGCGACAGCCACTACCCGTCGTGCGCGTACCGATTCCACAGCGTCTGACGGCACCACAAGCACAGGTCTGACGTCACAGAAGTCGACTTCTCTTCCCGCGACGCTCACAGAGGCGGTCCCGAAGCTGGTGAGGAGGAGGTCTAAGGCCCCGAGTTTCTCCCCGTACGAGAAGTACCTTAGCGAGGTCGATCCGAACCTCCCCCAGCCAAAGTTCCTCCCGCATATACACACAAAGCCCGAGAGGCCGACAAGTGTTTTCAGTATGGGTTCAAGGATAAGCGTGAAAGACTTCAGGCGTGGCATTGCATATAGGTTGAGGTGGAAGAAGAAGCCAGCCCAGCGTCCCGAGTCCATGATGTGAGTCCCACCACACACGAACGAGTATGGTATTGCCAAGCTGGAACCTGACTGGCTGACAATCAACTTGCAGTTCCTGTATATGTTGCCGCGAGGATTTTAGCATGGAGCATGAACCCCCGCAGACGCTTCCATGCGGACATACATATTGCAAGGGTTGCATCGTAGTAATGATCAACCAGTCGACGACGGACGAATCAAAGATGCCACCTAGATGTTGCACCCAGCCGATACCAGGATCCATCCTGCGGTCCGTCCTCACACGCGACGAACAGCACAAGTTCCTGAAGGCCGTGTTGCAGTACAGCACCCCATGGGAATCCCGCATCTTTTGCCCTAACACGTCATGCGGTGAATTCGTGCCGCCGCGAAGTAAGCTGGACCCGAAACATCCATTCGAGGTTGTGTGTGGGACTTGCAAGACAAGGGTGTGCGTCACGTGCAAAAGGAATGGTCACAGGCTCGGGCAGGACTGTCCAGACGATTGGGAACTAGACACTGTTCTCAAGATAGGCGAGAAGTCGGGCTGGAGACGCTGCTACAAGTGTCGCACGCTCGTCGAGCTGACCCACGGTTGCACGCATATGACCTGCCGCTGCAAGGCGCAGTTCTGTTATATATGTGGCGCCATATGGGATCCTATTGTTGGTTGTCCCAACTTCTGCAACGGAGAGGAGGAGCTCGAACGCCGCCGGTTGGAAGAAGAGGCGCGAATGGCCGAGCTGGAAGCAGAGAAGCAAGCGCAGGAGGAGGAGGCGGTGCGTGAAGAAGCCGATCGGCTCGAGGCGGAAAAGAGAACGGAGCAGAACGCAGAGTTCGAGGCTCTGCGCCAGACGCAGATCAGGGAAATGGAGCGGTTCGGGAAGTTCGAGCACAAGATGAAGTGGCTTATGTGGACGAGACAGTCCCAGGAGAGGCTGGCCTTGGTCGAAAGGTTCTCTGACCTGGCCGAGAAGATGAAGGAGCGCCATGCCAAGACGGAGCAACACCTCGAAGACCGCCAGCTCGAGGCAGAAGTCGAGCTGCGGAAGTCACTGGAACAGAGCGAGAGGAGCATCAACATCCAACTCAAGTACATGGAGGCGTTTTGCAACGGCCTAGGGCGTTCCCCAACCAGTGAAATGCCAGACCGGGAAGTCACCCAGAAGCATCTCGAGCAGCTCGGACAGCAGTACCATCTCAAAGATGGCATGAAACGCCGGCATGAAGCGCAGATCAATGTTCTGAGAGAGAAGCAGACGAAGCAGATGGAAGAGTTGCAACAACGCCAAGAGAAGGAGATGGAGAAGCTCGTGGAGAAGAAGACGGAGGAGTTCGAAAGCCTGGACCTCGAGTTTACAAATGAGGAGGACGCACTTGTGCGCGGATTCTCGGAGAGGAAGGAAAGGATTGAAATGAGATGGCGGCTAGAGATTGAGCTGCTCAGGAATGAGCTGGGGACGAGGGATGGCGTGAAATATGCGCCAATACCACTGCCCGAATGGCCACCGAGCCGCGGAAGCCAGGACGACAGCTTGCCATCGGTTGGGGAAGACGAGGTCTACTGACGACGTTTTATATCATTGACTCTACTGGCATGCAACGCATCTCTTCACGGGCTCATATCTAACACGACGGCGGTACTTTTCATCAACACATCCGGGCTTTAGAGAATCTGACATCTATTCTAGGGGAGAGGAGTTCCTCGTCATGGTCTCTCTTTCGGGGGTATTTTCATTCTGTCACTTGCAGTCTGCCTCATTTATACTGCTCTGGAGTTTGTTTTAGATCACCGAGGCGGAATGCTCCAAGCTGGGGATGGGAGGCGTATTGATTTTCACGGGATCACGAAACGGACAGCTGCATCGCATGGGTTTTTTCTTAAGACGATATATGACATATGACATATGATATATGATAGCGAAGACGCATACGGCAGAGACATAGGCTTATACCCCGGGCTAATTTGATCAAACAATAGCTACCTCATGGCCGTCCTATCTTTGGGTTCCGTCTTGGGCCGTCTGGCCAGTTGAATGCCTTGAACTGTATTTGCTTCCCGTATACTTTCCTCCATTAAGCCGGATTAGAACAATTATTAATAAAGAAGGGGGAAAAACTCGAGTGCTGCATGTCAGGGAGGGGCAAAGCTGAATAGCGAGGCCTGGGGGTAAGAGAGTCTCAGCTAGCATCCGAGGCCATAGAAGTAGTTCAAGTAGGTGGTTTGTAAGTTAACAAGGGTAAAACCTATTCGGTGGCATTTACCGTAGATACTCGGAAAGGCAGAACCCAGAAAAAGCCGCCACGGATCGAGCCCTATCTATCTCGTTCCCAGTGCCACCTGAATCCTCCTTGCCCATGGGCAGAAAGAGATCCCATTCCCCAAACCCCAACCCGGCCATTCGGTAATTATGGCCCCTTCTCCATGTCCTTCACCGGGTAGGGAGGTCAAGGAAGGGGGTTTGTTGAGAATACACACACGCACCCCTCATCCCCCCCCAACTCAGAAGATGGAATTCACAATATTGCTACCAATGGTGGCACCCGCCCCGAAGATGGCCGCGTTCCCCAGCTTCTTCCCAATCTTCTTCCCCTGCTCGCCCATCTTGCTGCCCCCCTCCCCGCCCTGCTCCGCCACCGCCATGGGCGGCGGCGCGTTGGCGTCGTACGGGTTCGCCTGCCCCGGCGGAGGCGGCGGATACCCGCCGTACATGGGCTGCTGCGGCGCCCCCCCGTACGGCGCCGCGCCGGGGTACCCTCCTCCTCCTCCACCACCACCGCCGTAGCCGGCCTTCTCGTCCTGCCACGGCTGCTGCTGCTGCTGCTGGTAGTAGTTACCGTGGCCCCCCGGCGGCGGGCCCGGCGGCGGGGGCGCGGCCTCGATCTCGACGTAGCTGCGCGGGAAGATGCCCTCCTGGCCCGTGCGGAGGTTGCGCCCCAGCCACCAGTCGGCGTTCATGTACTGGTGCACGGCGACGCCGTCGCCCCGCTCGAAGGCGCAGTCGCCGGCGTCGGCGCCGGCGTACCGGTACAGGGCGCGCGCGTGCGCGATCACGGGCTTGCCCGGCGCGGGAGGGGGCGGGGTCCGGCCCGGTAGGGCGGGAGGGCCGCCGCCGCCGGTGGATTGGTTGTAGGATGGCGGGGGCGCGGTGCTGGTGCTGGTGGCGGCGGAGGAGGTGGGGCGGAGGTTGAGGTTCTCGAGAGCGTTTGTTGGTGGGGAGGCGGAGGGTGCCGGTGCCGGCGAGCGCTGGGGGGCACGAGCGGCGGTGCGGGATGCTGGGGTTGGGGCGCCAGATAGGCTCGCCTCGGTGGGGAGGAGGCGGTGGATGCTGTCGAAGGCGTCGTCGTCTATCACGCCTTTCTCGAGGAGGGACTCGAGCTCCTAGCCAAGGGTGTTAGACTTGGGGCCCCATACATCACAAGTCCGGGTCGGGGGGAGGGCATAGATTGCACTTACATTCTTGATTAGACGCAATGACCGGTTGGTCTCGATGACCCGCTGGCGGTCTTCAGACACCATCGTTGCTGCCTAGTTGGCTGTATGACGTTGACTCTCTGGGGTTGCTTGAGATGCACTATCTTTCTTGATATCCTTTCTCAAGTGTTTTATATGATCCCACTCGGTGAGTTCGGATACCGAAAGTGAGGAATGTAGAAGAGTGTCGAAGCGATGTTGGGAGACAAGGTCAACTGGTAACAAACAGGTCCGGACTTCCCGCAATATAGCATTTCGGGTACGCTAGAACTGCCCGAAACCCCGCTCTGGCTCGGCGCTGCGGGGCCATCAGGGTTCAGGGATGGGAGCACAACCCCCTTTGTAAGCACCGGCTACAGGGCCTTAAACTCATGATCTATCAATTGCATACGCGTAAAGGATCGAGTCCACATTTGAAGTTCTCGTATCGAATGGGTCGGGCATTACGGATCCGTACACGCTGGTTTGAATAGATAGTCGCTAGGCATTGTCCACCTTGATATCAGTTACTTGCTTTGCGCTTCTGGCCTCTGAATAAGGGGATCTCAGCGTGACCAAACCTCTTGATACAACCACCATTCCCTCCTACAAGCATCCATGGACAAGTCAAACCACTGTCGCCTGCAAGGCCAGTAAGTAACCAGATGCTTAAGAAGAAGTAAAGCAGCCGTGATCCAAACCACAAGAGTTAGAGGTGTCGCAGTCCTGTCCACACGCAAGAATATTCCACGCGGTCACATTTCATTTCATTTCATTGCTCATTCCATTCATTATAACCCCGTGTCAAACATCGACACAGGGTTTGTCAATTTGCCATTCCTATTCGTCTCAGTTCTACACTCGGCTGGTATCCACGACACACTCTGATTCCCAGATGCAGACAGACGGACAGACTACCTAAGTCTCAACCACCTGACCGATGACACACCCAAACTCCGCTGATCATGAATATATGAGGGAACCCTCGTCCCGGCGTGAATCGTAACCATGTAGCAAAAAAAGAAAATAATAAAAAAAGGACCACCAAAAGGCGGTCTATCGAAAGCAGGACTGTCGCCATGAATGCTCACATCTCACCGACCTCCACGTCTATATCCCCGATGCGCCGCTTCAAACAATGCAATGCCACCTCTTGCTCGGGGACACCAAGCCCTTATTTCCTGTTCGTCCGTCGGCAGTAATATCCCTCTAGTGTGTCCCTCGCCGGAGGGGATATAGCATGATATCTCGTCCGAGGCAACAGACAAGAATTCACTACACCTTCCTCGCCTCGAACAGCGCCAAGCTCAGCGCCGTGTCGTTCTCGCCCACGTTCGGCGTGGGCTCGTTCAGCACCTCCCACCTCCGCAGCTGGAAGGCGGTCAGCCTCTCGGGCCCGTTCACCGCCTGGCCCCACAGCGCCGCCGGTGTGCCCAGGAGGCCCCCGCCAGGGATCGCCCCCGCCACCCTCCCCGCGAGCCCGGGGCTCTGCTGCTGCTGCTTGTCCCTGTGGCTCAGCATCAGGTGCTCGCCGGGCGGGCGGGCGAAGCTGAATATGTAGCGCAGCCGCACGTCCGAGCTGGCGTCCTTGACGGCGCGGACGCAATGCGCGCGCGCGTCGTCGGCCAGGTTGTCGACCAGGAGCAGGGTCAGGTCGAAGACCCGGTCGGCGACAGCCCTGGCCGATGCCGGTCCGATGCCGTCACCCTGGACGAGGTCGAGTTCCTGCAGGATTCCGCACAGCACGAGGAGCGCCCTGGCGAGGACTTCGCTACCCGCCTTGCTGGTGTCGAATGTCGCTGTGTGGAGGGTAATGAACGTCAGCAGCGAAGGCAGCCAGTGGTCGATAACGGCGGCCTTGGTTGCGTCGTCGGTCGACGACAGGATCTCCCACATATCAGCGAGTTTGTCGACGATGGCTGGGACAAGCTGGGGAGGTCGCCCCATCGAACCGCCCCTGACGATTGCGTCGATGACCGAGAGCAAGTTCTCGGCCATCTGTAGACTCTGCGCGAGGCTGCGTTCCGCAGACGGCGGGTTCCTTGTCGAGGGAAGGAGATTCAGAAAGCGGCCCTGAGCCCTGTTCTTGAGATGATGTGTGAGCTCTGGACTAAGGGAGGAGAGCATTCCAGTCCAGGTAATATTCTTGGCGTCGATAGCATTGTCCATGGCCTTGGCAAAGAGCTCGAGATGAGATTGCAGCCGCTCAGTCGAGTCCGGGCTGGCCTGGTCTCCCAGTGCGAGGCTCAGAGAGAGCTTGAGCTGACAGAATGGGAGAGTGAACTCGTCGGTAAGCTCGAGCACCTGATCGAAGGTGACCTGGGTAGTTTGGTCGGCGGTGGGGATGAGTAGCTTGGTGGCCAGGCAATCAATCCAGTTCCCGATAAACGGACCGGGGCTCCTGATTGCCAGTGCCTTGGACACCCCCGCCGTATCCTTCAAGGCGAGCGACCGTAGCATGCCAACCAGACGGTCCTTGGTCGCCGGGTCGTCTAAAGGAAGCGCATTGGTGTCATTCTTGTCATGACAGAGAGAATATTCCGCCAACGCCAGTCGGGTAACGGCCAGGATGTCGCTCTGGTTCTCCCTCTGGGCCTCGTCTTGTAATATGGCGATGCGGTAGCACTCCTCGGCCGTAATGAGGCTGTCCGGCAAAGGTGGCGTCATCAAAAATTGAAGGATTTCTTGAACGTAGCGGGTGCGATAGGTCACCTGGATGGACTGCAACGCAGCAACAGACCCAGGTCCAGGGGTAGCAGCAGGGCGAGGAGGCCCATTTCCCACAGCAGGGGTAGGCGGTTCACCGTGCGTACAGGCCAGCACGAGAGGTATGCTCAGACATCCTACGCTAACGAGAAGCGGGAATATCTGCAGAATTGACGGCCGGCTGCCCATTGATCGGATGTAAGACACCCATTTTGCCATGAGCGTATCAAAAAGTTGCGCATCCAAGACTCGTAGCCGCGCCAGGAGTAGGCTATACGCACGCTGGCTGTCGGCCGACTTACCCCACGAGTTCTGGAGTCTTGCAGCAACAAGCTGGAAGAATCGGTCCATAGTATGGCGGTCGATGGTGGTGCCGCTCGCGAGATGCTTCTCGATTTCCTCCTGCAGGTCGCTGTCGTTATCTTGCAGCCTCGCTCCCATATTATCTGACACGGGAGAGCAGGCATCGACTGGGTTGCTTCGGTCGCTCTGGGCCAGGTCCTTCTGCAACTGAGCTGCCAGCTTCTCAAGCTTGGGTATCCGCGGCGCCAAGCCGGCAAGCGAAGCTAGGAGAGGTCGAGCCCCTATTCCCTGTTCCTCGGCAAGGGATTTCAGTCTTCCGTGGAATGTGTCGAACAGGTCCCTGCCGACTCCCAGAGCAGCAAAGATGGAAATATGCCGGCTTAACGTATCGGTGCAGGAAGCTAGGATATCCACGCTTGATACCCTGGAAATTGTTTTTAGAACGTCGGCAAACATGGAGAAATCCCCCGCCGACTCGAAAATAGCTCGTACGGCGTTGAAAGTGGTGGGTGAAATCTCGGGTCCCTGGTGACCATCTTTCGATTCGTGGTCCAGATTCGAAACAAGATTGTTCCTAAGCCAAGAGCCGACCTCGGCCTTGAGCGCACGGCTACTCAGACCTATTCGTTTGGATAGTTTGCTGACCGACAAGGGCTTTCGCTGCAACATCTCGTCGGGAGATTCCATGGAGATACCAAGGGTAGACTTGAGACATTTGATCGCCATTCCGGCATCTTCAGCTTCGTCCTCCACAGAGAATGATGCGCGACGTAGCATGCCAGCCCTGAGGGACCTCTGCGAATCGGTGAGAGCGTGAGTGGGGAGTTCAACCAGTAGCCTCATTCCGCAAGGGCCTTCAGGGGATACATCCTGCTCCCTGAGAATGCCGCCGCGAGCTATCAGCCATTGAATGTAGCTCGGAACGAAAAATTGGCCCGATCGCACGAGCTCGCAGATGAGGTGGTAGAGAGTAGTCCTCCGGCCAGCCTCTTCGAGGGTGTCTGAATCCAAGAAGTCTAGGACTTCTGCGGTGACATCGACACCCATCGTGCTCCAGGAAAGGAGTACTAGACTGGTAACATAGACCTTGGCAATTCCGGGGCGGTACATGGACGTGCACCACTCGAGTAGAGTCCTGACAAGAGCCGACTTATCCCTGGCAACATCCCAGCATTGGCCCGGGAGCTCATCGGACACGAATGACTGGAGGGTGCTGTCCAATATCTTGACAAGGATGTGCCGTGCTGCAGGCCGGGACCTGTTTCCTGATGCTATAAGCTGTTCATTTCGATGTGTGATCCGTTTCAGGAGGTCCAGGTGAGGGTCGTCGTCTGCTGGTAAACTGGAAAGGAGGGTATCACGATACTTGAACCATGCGGTAGGCGAAACGAAGTTTTCGGGGCTAGCCGCCATCAGGGTTGACAGTAGTGATGCTAGATTAGAAGACAAGGGGGCAAGTATGTCCTTGTCGGGGTGAGTCTGGATCTATAGAATCGGTAAGAGGCCCGTTGCGACGCGGGTTGCAGATTGCAAGTCGACTTACTACATGGAGGTGACTCAGGAGAGCTGTAACCAATCTACGGCCGCTTTTCCTCATTCGGAGGAGATCGTTCCAGTAGATCTGCATAATAAGCATCCACATCGGCAGCTTGGCCTGTGGGCTGTTCTCGAGGCCGGAGATGAGCCACTCCATATAATGGTCTCGATCCAGGAGGTGTTCGGCATAGAGGTGGGTTGCAAGTCGAATGCTGTGAGAGAGTTAGTTGGTAGTACATAACTAGGTAGCTCAGGGGAACACTCACGCATAGTTGACCTTCGACTTCCAGTTGGCATCCCCAAAGGCCGAGAAGACGCTCTCGACAAATTGCTCCACAAAGACTGTCCAGTCTCTAATCCACTTTGCTTCGCCGCCCATGACGAAGGTGCCGTTGACCCCCTTCCTCTTAAACGCTCGAATTTCGTTCGCCCCGACACACTTTGCTAGCCAGATCGCGCGATCGACGGGGACGGATTTATTCAAGCATTGATCCAGCAAGACTTTCCCGCGAATGCCGTGGGGGATTGTCCGGCTGAGTCGACGGAGAGAAATTGCAGGGTTCGCAAGGTCCTTGAGCCACATCTCTCGCTTCGTATCGGTGAGGGTAACTCGCGGAGGCGGCTTGAAGGTGGATGGCGCGGTAATGCGACCATTATGTCGCCGTTGCCCAAGCACCCCCGTGAAGATTGTAGACAGCGCATGGAGGCCGCTCTTATGATGCTTAACTGAACCAAACAGGCCTCCCTTGGCCGACGAGGTTTCGGTCTGCGCAACGGGGGCCTTGTCGAAGAAGCCATGGCGGATGACATGCTCGGAGAACTTGTCTTCAGGGTGGGCTCCAGTCCAGGGGTAGAAATCGGCGAATCCTGTGGCCGAAGAGGAGCCGCCGCGGTTGGGCGTGGGTGCGGTAGAGCTTGCCTTCGCAGGTTGGTCGGTGGTACCATGGGTGATGTAGCGGGGAGCCGCAGACGGGGTCTCCACAGTGTATACCTTTGGCTTTGAATCTTTCTTGATAGGTGTAACGATTGGGGTCGAGGAATCCTGACGGGGGACGGGGAGTGTAAAGCGAGGCCGCCGGGGGGGCACGGGTAAAGGGTTCGAGTCTGCTTCGGCAGTTTGTGCTCTGGTGGACGCGTGCGGGCTCATATCCCCGAGGTCAGAGGCGTCGGTGGGAGGCATGACACGCGATGGCGTTATGGGCTTGGACGAGTCGAGGGTGCTAGGGGACTCGCTAATGCCCGCCTGCGCGATGGTGTCGGCGACGTCGTGGGACAGCTCCAGCTTGAGCCTCGACCCGCCCCTTCGCTGGGTGGCATACCGACCTTGGGCGACATCGGCCGCATCGGACTGGTTGAGGTCGAGAAAGGGTGCCTCTTTCCGGATGGGAGACTGGGGCAAATATTGCTGTGACAGACTGCGCTGATGCGCTGGTCTCTGCGACAAGCCCGAGCCGCTCAGCGGCCTCTGGGCTTGTCGCTGCTGGACGCCCAATGAGGCTCGCGAGGTCATCCCTGGTTGAGGGGCCGATGCGCCATTCCCGTTTGATGTGAGAACGCGAGATATCCGAGGCTGGGGGGGTTGATGAGACGAAGTATGGACGGAAAAGAAGGCGGAGAGTGGTGGTCTGAAGTTGCTTGGCACCCCGGTCGTTGCCCCAAGCAGTCGCCGCGGCAGGCGGGGATTCGGAAAGAAAACCAAGCGACACCCGACTCAGCCGCAAGGGAGTTACAAACACATGCTCGTTCCTGATGCAAGCCGGCAAGGGCCGCCGAATAATATTGCCTCAGGCGCCAAAAATGAACAAGAGATCCGGGAATTAACAGCTTCTTTAATAGGCAGGTACCTACTATATATTACCGGTAGTCTTACGCAGCGGACCAACTGGCTGCTCGCTATTTGGTACAGCACATAGACCTACCCGGATTAATATATCTCAGCTTCGGTTCGGTATGTACTACATAATCGCAGCCACAACTCCCGTCAATAGCACAGCCAGTAGTGCTTTATAACGCAACCACTAGCTGCCTTGCCCGGTCCTCCAGGCCCCGTGCTGTGGCAACCGATAATAAGGATGGAATTTGCAGGAGTAGCAGCCTCTCTCAGAGCCAGAGGTATGCCATCTCTCAGATGCTACATTCTCAGAGAAACAGAAGATTCCCCTTTTCTGATTGCCGAAGGCCGTAAGACCACGAACTGCCAAGTCAATTCAGGAGTCGAGTAGCTACAGATGTATGTACAGTAATCGGTACCTAGTGGTGAAATGAATCTACTGTATGTTTGCTCCATTTTGGCCCGTGCACGTAGCTTGGCAATGCCTGGATGTCCATCTATCCCGTCTGCCTTACGGTCGCATCGCATCTTCCGATTGACTTCACCCGAATTGAACCACTTCAACCGCGACATTATGGCATCCAAGGGCAAGGAGATCCGCCGGCCAGACCTGAGTATGTTACCATTCTAGGCTACCCAGGCTGCAGAGACCACAGGGCTGCAGTGACGCTGATAGATCTCACGCAGTCATTCCGTATCAGGAGCCCGGCGGGAAAAGCGAGAGCGTCGAATTCTCTTCGACACTGTCGTCCACGCTGCCAATGGCAGCCATCTTCATGCGCAATCGCTACATAGGATGGTATGCTGTTCCCCAATATTCCAGGCCGGCTAGGCCTGCGCAGAAACTGCAATCCGCCAGGAAACCCGCACCAGTCGCCAACTCGCTTTCGATGTCGCGCTGACACTCTCTGATCACAGGGCGGCTTTTGTCTACAGTGTTCAGAGCTGGCTAGGCGAAAGTGAAGATACCAAGAAGAACACTAGCACCCCTGGATACTTCTCTGTTGGAATGTCATGTATGGCCCGCCTCTACAGACCAACCCATTCAAGATAACAAGCTCACAACTCTCTCAGTAATGGCTCTCCTGGTCACATATCTCCCGCTGTTCCTCCCGCCCCCGCCGGGCTCGCAAGCCGGTACCGCGACCGGCGCGGCTCCCCCTGTCCCTCCTTCCTGATCGTCCGTCGACATTACCGATATCTAGCAAGGACGAAGTTGCCAAGCCTACAAAGAGACGGTTTGGGACGCCAGCTGGACGGTATCGAAGCCTGCTATCCGAGGAGGACATATTCGGAAGGTTGGCCTGCGTCAATGGATAGTGTACAGTATACCCCATAATTCAGTAATAGGCGAATGTACGCGTCGTTGGTATTGTACATGCATCCTTCGGCTTTACTCTGGCTAGGTTTGGGGCCCAGATTCGTCACGTGTATCTTTGCAAGAGCAATTCAATAAGGGTTGATCAATGTCTAGATGCCAGTTCCTAGGAGGACTTCCGTCTCCTTAACCAGTCCAGTTTGATGGCAATGCTACGTTGTCACAATATCATAGGCATCCCACCAAGACTTGGGTCGCCATTCTAGGCAAACACTAGATACTTGTCAACTATCTAGTTGTTTTGGCTCTTTTGGCCTGAGCCAAGATGCTATTAGAGTGTGTGAAGTTGCATTTCTTGACTGGTTCGGTGGCTTATATATCTGCCTGCCGATCACCATAGCAAGCTATACCAATGCATTGTTTAAGAATCATCTGTTCCAACTTTCAGTTGAGCTTTTCCTTTTAGCTTTATCTCGGTCTTCTTGTTCCTGTTACCGCCCTCGTGGTATGTAGGCAAATACAGGATCTGGGTGACACGTGCCTTATCACCCGACATGATTACCCCCCGGTACTCGCTTATGTAATATTCTGGCTTTGAGAGGTGTCAAACTGAACCCCTGGACCCACCTCAACATAACCTCAGCATTTTTGTTCCGGGAACGACAAGTTGATATTACTATTTTGGATTCACTGTTGCAATTCAAGAGATGGAAGCAATCAGCTTGAACTCATAACTCAATTTCGCGTTTTCGGACGCGCCAGATGGCCAACGTAGTCGAGAATCGCGGCCCAGTTCTCAGGTTCAATTACTGAAACAGTTCGCTTGACCCCTGTCATAGGCCCATACGGGTTTCGTCGCAGACTGGCCCTGCCCATGCCCCCATTCCCAGGTTTCCCGCCCCCTCCTCTCCTACTTTCTTTGCTTTCTTCTCTTCTCCTTCGAATTCCGACTGCGAGTGTGGTCGTCGATCTTCCCGTTACGTTGTCATTCATTTTTCCGCGTCGCCATTTGCTCTTCTGACAGCTGGTCTGGAATTTCCTATTATTGCTTTCCCATCACCTCGCCCTCTCTCTTCCAGACTGTGCCAGCACGGGCGCCCTTCCGACCACGAGCTCATCCCGGCCCTGAACAAAAAGCAACGAACAAAGGAAAAAAATGAAGCCCGCAACACTCGCCGCCGCGGCCCTCTCGCTGTGCGTCTCGCTCGTCAGTGCCGGCGTCGTCACCATCCCCATCAGAGCCGATCAGGTCGTGGAAAAGTCCGCCGACGATTGTTTCTTCGGCGTCGTCACGCCCATGGGATGCGGGTACGTTTGGTTTCCTCCTCCCTGGCCCCAATCTTTGACCCTCCAGGGATTCACATGTGCACTTGATGGATCGTTGTGCCCTAACTGCGTGTGACCTTGTAGGCCGCTGCGCACTTGAACGATCCTGTCCCGCGAACACGGATTCGTCGCTACGGACTAGCCTAGGGGTGTTGCAGCCGACCAGCAGGAGCCTCTGTTTCATAATGTGTAAACGAGAGATGTGTCTGGCACACCGATACGGACGGAGGGAGCGGAGGAGGAGGACTAAGTGGGATGCTGTCAGGCGAGGACAAGGAAGAGGAAGAGGAAGAGGGGAAGACCGGAGGTTGGATGATGGCATGAGAGAACGATGAAAGTGAAGCATGGAGGAGAGCATGTTCCTTGGGCCTTCTCTGGATCGCACATATTTCTCATATTTCACCCTATATAACTTCAACCGTTTACAAATTCAAGAATGGACAACAACAATACCAACACTCACAACCAGGCCTCTATGGCGAGGACGGCGCCTCAGATATCAGAGAGGTGACGGTTTCCAGTAACTACAAGGTGCTCGGTCGAGTTGATGTGCTTGCCCCGTTCCCTTCATAGGTCCAATGAACAGTCACACATCTCCCTCGGTGCTTCTTAAGGAAAATGCTTCAAAGCCACGATAGCAACAGTGGAGCACGGTCAGAGATGGTACGGTCACAATTCCAGAGCTATGCTATGATATTACTAGAACCACAGAACAAAATCAACTCAGCAAATCAGTTGATTTGCGTGGGCTTTCAGTCCAGAGCCATTGCCAGAGGGCGTATCCATCCTGACCGGGCTGCGATAGAACTTCCCATTGCTCGTCGACATCCCCTCAAAGCCCGCAGGAGCGCATTCGAAGCCCCCAGTTCGAAGATGCTGCCGGAACCTCCAAGTAGAACGCGGCCGCCGTTCCAGGGGTTGTCGTACTTGATGCCGTCGGACAAGCCACCCCGTCCGACCCGGAGCCCCGCCCTGTCTCGCGAGCGGAAACATGGACTGGGTGTGGCCGAAGACCTGCATCATTCCAAGCTGGTCGTGGCGTTGAGGGAAACCCTTCCTTCCGGCCTAGCCAAGAGGGAAAACCATTTACAACTTCGCAGTCGCTTTAGTTAGGCCAACAAGCCAAGCCGACAGACTCGGACCAGTGATGGGCCCCCTTGATCAATTGTCCGACAATCCCGGGAACCTGATCCTGGTATCAAGCCTAGCACCAAGGCACCGCAGACCTGATATCCTTGGGAAACTCAAGCCAAAGCCCGCCGCCTCCGCCGGTTGAATTTGCCTCGGTCCGGCGCCTCGGAACCAACCTGGCGTGTACCTGACCGGCGTATCTCGGTGCGTATGATATCGTGACGTATCCGCCGGAAGACTCTCCATCCGTGTCAGGCATGTGAGGTGTCAAGATGTGAGGCCACGTCACCCGCGCCGTTAGCTTCAACCTACATATGCCTACACCGGAGTCCGGATACAGCACTGCCTTCTCCCTCTGTGTTCATTTTCCTTACATTGGTACCCGTAACCCGCAGTTAAACTGCGTTCTCGAGGCTTGGTTGAAGGAGAATATCTAGTGGCGAGGAGAGCCATATGTCGGCATGCTGACGTACACATCCCAAACGCGGCCGCGAAGCCCGGTCCTGTGGCACCGAACAGCGGGTAGTGACGCGGCCCAAACTCGTCATCACTGCACCAACCGCCACCGGCGAGGGCGGAGATGTGGCAAAATGGTCAATAGCCACATTGGGTCGGGGCTCGTGACAGAAAGGAAGGTGGTAGAGAGAGAAGTCGGGTGGCATGGCTGGGTACGACAGGTTTAGTAGGTAGATTGGCGAAGAGTTGCTCGGAATGCTCGAGTGGAAGCCGACGTGGGGAAGTCACCCCACAGCATGTGGGTTGTAATTCAGAAACTGGAAGCATCGCGAAAAGGGGCAGTTAGAAGTGTAGGTGATATGAGGCACAACAATGAACAACATGGATAAAATAAATAAATAAAATCATTGCATATTTCATGCCATGCATCTATGTACCTCTACAGAGCGAAAGTATGTCTCGAGGCCGGATATCTTCTGCAAAACGCCATGTCCAAACCCAATGGTTGTATACACTAGTACTGCGGCTGGCTTGTCGTCAAATTCCACAAGGCACCACGACCTCTAACCAGGCTCATTAAAGTTCTTCTCTAGGCATCCCATAAACGACTGGTTGGGACACATGCTCGGCAGGTACCTCCACGCCGAGCGGTGAATCCTACATATGAGTGAATCTAGGTCTCGAGGACCGCACACCTCTCACAGGAAGCTCATCATCGCACCAACCGAGAGGCCAACAACCAACGCCGCGGAGCTGTATGTGGTCCGGCCGGCAGCGTTGCGCGAGTTTTTGGCATTGCATTCTCCAGTAAAGTTGCCGGCGCTGAGACCGCCAGCCGGGATGGCCTTCTCGTTCTCACCGCAGTTGACATACTCTGCTAGGCCGATGACCTTCTCGGACTGGTCAAAGACGACGAAGGCGCTGCGCATGAAGGTGTCGCCGAGGAGGGCGGTGATGCCGGTGCTGGAATCGACGGGCACGGCGCCGAGGATGCAGGTGTTCGCGTCGTACTGCCAGATAAACTCATTGAAAGGGACCCTGATGGTGGCTTGCCCAAAGGCGAAGTCGAAGCTGCCACGCTGGCTGAGCTGCTTACACGGGACCACGTAGAGGCCACTCCGCGAATCAAACTGGCCTTCGGTGTCGCGGGCCATGGCGCTAACAACGGAGCTGGGCAGATAACTGAGCGAAGAACCAGAATCAATGACGACGGCCATATGCGAGTTCGCATATACCTTCGACGTGCCAGGCTTGCTGAGAGCAATGCTGGTCATCTCGATCCAGTAGCGGAACAGGGACTCGCCGTCTTGCGGGCCAAGGATCTTGTTGGTGATCAGCGGGCCCGTGAACTTCTTGGTGTCAACACCGCCGAAGATTAGGGTGCCGCCATTGTCCTCGTCGACACTGCCCAGTGCGATGCCGAATGCCTTAGTCTGCGTGACGTTTTGCAGGAAAAGGTCGTCGATCAGATTGTTGTAAGGCAAATTGAACCCCTTGCCAAATCCTAGACCTAGGATGCCCTCGTTCAGCTCGGAACTGTCGGTAGCAACACCAAACTGCGCATCCGTGACGTTGACGGTACTCCCGGGGAGCGCAATGTTGTCCTTCACGTACTCGAGCTCCACGAAGCCCTTCCCGTACTGGATCTCGGTCGTATCGGTCGTCACTTGGGCCGTTTTCGACTTGGCAGGGTTGTATTCGTCATTGGCGAGGCACTCGCTTTGTTGACTGAAGGTCAGATCGTCACTTGAGCAGTTCGGGTTGACCCAGAGTTCGTCCGAGCCAGTATCGATAGCGACTTTGACAGATTGTCCGGGAGTTCCGATGCTCACTGTGAGGGCCTTGGTTAGCATCGGTTCGAAGTCATCAAGTGGGGGTAATATTGCGCACATTCGATAAGGTAACTGATGGAGGTGACGTTATATAACGGAACGTCAAAGTCTCTCTTCGTGAGGGGACGATGCCGCGCCGCGCGAGTGATGGGATAAGTTACCCAGCTCCCGTGCACATCTTGGCTGGGGGCTCGAGGCAAGACTGAAGCGGTACAGCAGGCGGCAACCACGGCCAGGGGAAGGAGAAATTTGGAAGCCATCGAGCGACTTCACAGGATGCGGCGAGCACAACGGAGTGAGAGGGGAGGGGAGGGGAGAGGATAAAGGGGGGACGAGGTGGTGGAGCGAGCAAGGAAGACCCGGGATCGACTGACGACAGCCAAGGTAGGGTGGGAGTTATAAGGTTGAGTAGAGGAGTGATGAGACACTAGAGAATAATCCGCAAAGATGAACAAAACGAGTGATTCGTCGGGTGTGGAGAAGGCATTGAGCGCGTATGTAACAGAAATTAACCCCGATAGAGCGAGCGGCTAAGGTAATTGAGTCAGAGAATAAGTATAGAAGCTCGCCAAGAGTACTGCGTAAGATCCAGGCCGACGGCGTCGTTTGGTCAGCGGTGCCAAGAGAGGCTCAGGATGGTGGCGTCTTAGGAGGCGCAGCCGCGTTTCCAGTGTACGTTGTATGCATGGGTAGGTACCTGGGTACCTATTGTACGTACAAAATACAACTCACCGCTACGATCATCGTGACATGTGTAGATAACGTTCGGGGTATTCCGTTCATTACTTTGTACTTGCAGAAACCTGAAGTGTGCCTCATTCCCATGAACACAGACATGGGAGGAAATCTCAGCCTACGCAACCCAGAACCAGCGCCGTCTAGTTTCTTTGCAGGTATCATATTCGCAGCAGATTCAAGATGGATTGAGTTACGGATCCGTACAGGCAGCGCTGGTTGCGCACAACCTATGAAATTGGGGCGGATCTCTATTAGCCTCACTACGCAGCTAACCATGGCGGGAAAGGCGCTGTCGATCCCAGGCTACCAACCAGAAGTCTCAGCCCACCCCCATTCTAGAGGCGCACGCGCCTTCCATCAAGGAAGAGGCTGACCGAGGAAGAAATACCAGCAACCGCGCATCAGCTAACAGAGAGGGAATCAAAAGCATCATAATCGCCACAACTGGGCGTTACAACGTATCCCTGACGCTCCGTCCGCTGCCATACACTCCTGCGTAATGAGTAGGCTGCAGAGAGAAGCAACGGCCAGTACAATCACCCAGAGCCTGAAACTAGCTTGCTTGGCACGGTCCTATTACTGCCAAGACGTCACTAGCCCACGCGCCCCTTTCCGTCCGCCCAGAGCTGACTGACCAGCCAGCTTCTTTGTTTTGTCACCGTCTCGCCGGTCCGTCCGACCTCATCCGACTGAAGAACATGGAACAGTCACGATAGAGAGTCAATCGCCTGACAGTTAGGCATCTGGAAAAAATCGCTCGCCGATTTGATGAGGCCCCTATTGTCGTGCGGCTGAAATCCCCCCCCACTGTTCGGCTCTTGGCACATCCTTGGCACTTGAAATCGTAGAAAGAGGAAGGCGTTCAGCAGGGCGCGTTGGCAGTGCAGTTCCTTGGCAAGCCAAAGACGAGCGGATTCAACGTTAGCCCATGCCACAGACGGGAGCATGCCAAAGACGAGCGGATCAACGTCAGCCATGCCCACAGAGCAGGGCTGTTGCGTTCAAGCGACAATCAGCAACTTGTCTCGCCGGGCGATACGGCGCGATACGGCGCTTGGAGGGGGCCGGACCGGATTCTGTCCTCCCTAGCTTATTTTCTTGCTGGAGACAGATTTCTAAGTCTGACTGACTCACCTTGTTTAGGCAGCCATGATTATATTCGCAATGTTGTTGGGGGGGGGGGGGGGGGGGGGGGGGTTAGGAAAAACCCCGGAAGTTTAAAAAAAACAACAAAAACAGAAAAAAAACCAAAATCAGCCCGAAGACAAACAAACCCGGGGGGCC